ATCTGGCAGTTCAGGGCCACTGAACCTAAGAGAGACAGAGAGAAAGGGATGTGAATGGGAAGGAAAAAGACACCCAGAGAGGAGAAACTGTGAGAGCCAGCACCAGCCGCTTCCTGCCAGCCAGGCAGTGATGCACCCCTCCAGCTGTTGGCTTCAGCATTAAGCCAAAAGCCCCAGGCTCAGAGCAGGCTCACCCCCATCCCTGATCCTTCCCATTTTCTAGCCTGCTCACAGCAGCCCTCCTCCTCACACACCTGCAGTCACTTATCCAAATCCACCAGGAGCACCTGTGTCTGCATGGTGCTCACCCCAGCAGAGCTGTGGGCATCAGCTATCTGAATAGGAACCTTCCAAATAAACTACCCAGAATCATAGAAAGGCCTGGCTTGAAAAGGAGCACAATGCTCATCCAGTTCCGACCCCCTGCTGTGTGCAGGGTCACCAACCAGCAGACCAGGCTGCCCAGAGCCACATCCAGCCTGGCCTTGAATGCCTGCAGGGATGGGGCATCCACAGCCTCCTTGGGCAACCTTTTCCAGTGCCTCACCACCCTCTGAGTGAAAAATGTCCTCCCAAGAGCAAAAATAAAATAAACCAACTATCCATGAGAGAAAGCCTCCATGTGTTCTTGGAGCTGGGAGAAAGACACCAATTATTCCATGCAAGCATTCCTCACTGCAGCACTTTGCAGATCACAGAACCATAGAATGGATTGGGGTGGAAGGGGCCTCAAGGATCACCCATTCACACCCCCTGCTGCATGCTGGCTGCTCCCAGCCCCATCCAGCCCTGTCCTGAGCACCCTCTGGGAGGGCTGGCAGTGCTTCACCACCCTCTGGTAAAGAATTTCTTCCTAACATCTGACCTAAACGTCCCATCTTTTAGTTTAAAGCCATTCCCCGTTGTCTAGATCTTTTTATGTAGCCATGATCTACTTTTAAGCTTAGCTGTGATTTAATTTATCACAGCTTTACTTTATATATATATAATTAATGCATAATTATAGATACATACATAATTATTACACAATTATACGTAATTATAATTACAGGAAATAGGGCCTTCCTACAAACAACCCCTCTGTTCCAGCTGAGGACATGCCCACACACAGCACAGGATCCACACAGGGTTCTGGAATTCAGTTTGTAGGAAGGGAGAGAGCAAGCCAGCCTGGCCACCGAGTGTCAGTGCCACTGCCACCCACTGTTACTGCGACCACCAAGGAAGAGCTCCATCCAGTTGCCTTAACTGCAACCCCATTGCAGTGCTACAGACCCAGAATGGCAATAGTAGAACTGCATAAGTGCACAGAGGAGATAGCCCTGCACTGCTTTAATAGCACAAGTGTCATCCCACCTCTATAATCCTTCCTCTGCCTGATGAGATCAGCATCTGAGACTAAGACATACTACGTAATAAAAAGCACACGGGCTTTCCTGTTTCAAAGAACTTGCTTTCATTTTTTGATGCAGCTGATACAGGAATATCCTCACTGCTAGACCCTAATGCCTTGTGCCCTGCTATGAGCCAAACCTAAAGGAAACATTCCCCGTGTTCCCAGCAGGGTGCAGTCAGTTGCAGGAGGGCAGGGAGCACAGAAAATGGGACAAATGAGGCTATCCATAAAACCATCATTTGGAGCAACACATCTGGTCAGGCACTGGGACAGCTGCCCAGGGAGCAGAGGGGTCACCATCCCTGGAGATGCTCAGAAATGTGGGGATGTGGCACCTGGAGACGTGGTTATGGACATGGTGGGGTGGAGGGTTGGGAAGCTGAGAGGTCTTTTCCAGCCTTAATGGTTATAAAGGTAAAAAAGCTCAGCCTTCAGTTCCAGGCACAGCAATGGAAAACACAGTCAAACTAGAAAGTCATACGGCAGTGTTCTAGCAAAGCATCTTCTGACACATCACCACCTTCTTAGGGGAAATAAGATGTTCATTAAAATAAAATGAATCTGAAAATTCAATATAAAGAAAGCCCTTGATTCATCCTGCTGCTTTCTAAGTGCACAGGAAAACTCCCACTGACTTCATGGAAAGTTCTCCAGGGCCCCTTGGCACGGCAGGGTGGGCGGCCGTCACATTCAGCATGAGCTAATGGTGAATCCTTGGTGCCCCAAGCCCACCAAAGGCAGAGCTTCCAGGTGGCTTAGTATGCACTGCTATCAACAGCATCTCATCGTTATCACATTAAAGATTGGAAATGGAAAGCTTATTTATGTGTCAGACACATGCTTCAAACACCCCAGTTCTCCCTTTAAAGCCATCCCCCTTTTCTATAGTTATCAGACAGCATAAAAAGTCTCTCCCCATCTTTTTTTACATTCCCTTTAAGCACTGGCAGAGGCTCCCTTTAAGTTCTGAAGGAAGGGCAGCCCCACCCCGTCCTGTCCCCACACTGCCCCAATGCCAGGACCCCGCGGGATTCCCAGCTCTCAGCTCCCCGAGACACCAATACAAAGAAAAAGGGGAACTCCTGCTCCTCCGCCAACATAAAAGCAGCGCAGCCCCTACAGCAGCCACCAATCCCACATCAGTTTCATCAGGCAGAGGCATGGCAGAGCACAGCATCAGGAGCAGAGCAGCATGGCTGGGGGTCAGGCACTGGGTGCTGCCGGCTGTGCTCTGCCTCCTGCTGCCATCCACGTGGGCACTGCCACCTCCTGCCCACAGCCTGGCCAAGGGACTCAACTGCTCCAGGACACTGCTGGCCGCTGCCAACGAGGCACTCCTGCAAGTGCAGGTATGAGAGGGGAGGGATGGTGCCCAGGGTGGGAGGGTTGTGTGTGGGATGGTGCATAGCCAGGCAGGTGATTAATGGCACCCAAGATGGTGGGGATAGTGGCCAGAACAGTGGGGATGATACATACCTAGCCATGCAGGAGACAGGTTGGTGATGGTGTCCAGGCAGATGATGTGTTGGTGAAGGCAGCCAAGATGATGAGGATGGGTTCCTGATGCTATCCAAGCAGGAGAAACTTTGGAGATAAATCCCAGGCAGGCACATACACATGCACTCAGCTCGGGGAAGTCTCCTTCTGAACTCCCAGCAGGACTGTAACTGCTCGCAGTGCCCACCCACACAATCAGCAGCACCTGTGTTTGCACAGGTGTCTCTCAGCTCTCATCCACTGCAGCAGAGTGCTAACCAATTGGACTGCTTGCTTTTGAGCACCTGTTTCTCTAACACCACTGCAGAACTGGCTCTGCAGACACCTGCTCCCAAGCTCACTGCATTTGGTGCTCTGACTTTGCTGTTACAGAGCCCTTCTGCCCCTAAATCCCCATCAAAATGAGAGTTTCTGCCAAAGTCCCCTTCTAGAGTTGCAAGCTTCATCTCAGAGAAGCACGAAAGAAAACCACTGAAGAGTTTCCCAAAGTTGCAGTGTATCAGTGAGCACTGCCTCTGTATTTTCTTTTTTTCACTTTCTAGTGCTTTATATTCAGCACAAACACTGCATTTACTGATTTTGAGACTCTCTATTTGTTGTTTTCTGAAGCTGAATCGTTCACCCTTTTCCCCCCCTTTTTAACACAGAAACAGGGAGTGCTGGGATTTGAATGCACCCTTGAAGAAGTTGATCTTGAAGATGTCACCAACAGCCAAATCAACACAATAAAATCCTGCACAACTGAGGATCTGGGGGTAAAACCAAAATAACCAACTTTCAGCATCATATTTTCTCCAGCAGCCATATAACATGTTGTCACTAAATGAACCTGTATCATTTCTTCTTTAATTTATTTGCAGGCTGGAAACTGTCCAGTACTGGAAAGTTCTACTTTAGCTATGGTAAGCTGTGAGTTTCTATAGAAAACCTTTGTTTAGCACTTCTAGCACTTAGCAACAAGTTCCAGCATCTCTTATTAATTCTGACTTCTGCAGAGCAAATGCCTGCAGGGGATCTATGAAGATCTGAAAACCTACAGGGCAGAGCTGTGGAACCTCAAGGATCTGAGGGTGCTGACATCCATTAATGACATGATGCAAGTAAGCATTTCCATCTTGTTCCATCCATCTTTAAATGGGAGCAGAGTTGTGTTGTGAAGTTAGTCGCTGGGGAGCCTGGAGTTTGGAAGCTTAATGCTGGTTTTCCTAGGAGTAAAACTGGAAGATGTTAAGAGCTCGTTTGTCCCTCCACTGACCTCCCTCCCCACTGCAGGTCCTGCAGCCCCGCAGCCCAGCCGTGCCGCAGCCCTCGCCCAGCACCATCCTTGGCTCCTTCCAGGGCCGCATGCGGCTCTGCGGGGTCCTGCACGCCTTCTGCCTGCGTGCCGTCACCATCAGCAGGATGCTGGGCTACCTGAGTGCCCTCACTGCAGAGACATAAGAAGAAAATGCAACAGCACGGCCGTCCTGCTGTACAGTTACTTATAAACCATGTTCTGCTGTCAGTGCCTTTGAAGCTAGCGCATCCAAGTTCTAAACCTGGGGACAATAAGCTGGATTGTATGAGAACGTTCTCAGATCGCCGAATGCTCAGCTGTTATAGTGTTTTATTTATTCAATTGTAAGTTCCTGAAATGGATATTTATGATAATCCTGGTTTATTTATGATGATGCTCCTTATTTATTCTATTTATTGCCTAATAAAATTGAAGTTCACATAAAAGCTGCAGTGACCTTTTTTTTGTTGTTCCTTGAGATATCACACACTTCAAGGAACACAATGTATTCCATCCTATTAATAGGACAGAATCACATTGATCAGACTTCTAATGTATTTTGTATTCACAGAATCATTATGGTTGGAAAAGAGCTCTCAGATCCCCAGTGCAACCCCAGCCCACCCCACCATGTCCACATCCCTCAGTTCTGCCACATGCCACATCCCCACGGTTCTGAACACCCCCAGGAAAAGTGCTTGACCACTCTTCGGAGAAGAAACATTTCCTAATCCCCAACCTGCTCTCAAATAAGCAGAATACCACAGCACCACTCAGCACTGGGGTCTAGAATTCCCATTTTCCTCGTTCCTCACATCAGCTGTGCTCCTTGTGGCTTTGACTCTCCAGGGGGCTTTTGTATCAGGTGTGTTCAAGTTGCCAGGTGCTGCCTGACAGGCACATTTTGAGAGCAAAAGGTTTCAGTTAGGAAGCAAAATCAGCTAGCTTTGCAATAAGTGCCCCTTCAGAACTATTTTTTGTTTGTTTGTTGCTGGAGTCACATCAAAACAACAGGCTGAAATTGGGTGTGCAGACAACAAAACCTCTTGTTGATGACAACTTACCTCCATCCACCACAGCTAATATCTGATCCCTGCTGTGCCAGGCAGGCAGCTGGGCACAGCCTTTCCTTTCCATCTGTTCCATTGCAGGAAAAGTCTTCCTCTCTTCTTGCAAACCCATTTGACGTTATGTGTTTGGAGAGATTCATATTTAAGAACCTAGCTAAGAAATAACCACTGAGGATATGCAAACATCCCTGTTCTCAGTGCCATAATTCAGAAGAAATTAACTAATTGGGTAGTGAGCTTAGAAAGGTAAGGCATCATACCCTCCAACTAAAGCATTTGGAGTTGTGATTTACTATCTGCACTCACAAGAACTACTTGCTAGTGGTAAAACTAGCATTGATATTCTGGGAAATGTATCCCCTTAATGCCCTCTTTTATGAGATAAATTGTTTCATTCTTTAATAGGGCAATGCTTAATGTCACCTGCATTTTTATTAGTAGTGGCTGGTGTTGCACATGGAGAACGACAGCTGTTTAATCACTTCTTAGCATACAGAGAGAACCCCCTGTCATTTTGAAACAAAAACTGAGGCTTCAGTTGAAAACCCAGGGAGAGATGCTGAGACAAGCACCCTCCCACTCCTTCTTCCAAGATCACCACTGCTCTGCTTGCTGACACAGGGTCTCTCACCAAAAAAAAATGCATAGAGAAAGCAGCAGCTGACTTGAAATGCTGTAAGAGAAGTGAAAACTTCAGCAGCAATGAGAAGAACCACTGAGCAGCAGGAGTCTGTCTGGAGAGATGGGGACACTGGCATCGCCCTGGCTGCTGTGGGGAGGATGCCTTAGGTTGGAAGGGACCTTAAAACCCATCCCATTCCAAACCCATGCTGTGGGCTGGTTGTCCCCAGCCAGCTCAGCTGCCCAGGGCCCCAACCAGCCCAGCCCTGAGCACCCCCAGCTCCTCTGGGCAAGGCACCCTGTGTCCCTGATGGCAATTCTCATTTGCTCGCCTCAGAGAGAAGAGCCAAGGGCAGCTCCACAACGTGTTCCTGTGTCCCAGTGTGTGTCCCCTAAGTCCTACAGCAGCAGAAGAGCCCACAAGGGATGCACACATCCCCAGGAAAAGGCCTGACCAGAAACAACATTTGACCAAGGAGAGGAGCACAAAGGGGTGAGAAGATGGCATGTGACATACAAGCAGCAGACAGCTGCTAAGAGCTGTATCTCAGCAGACAGCTAAAATTAAAAAAAAAAAATAAAAATTAAAAATTACACATAAATAGCCAAAATGTTCTCTTTTTAATCCTTATATTTAAAAGTATGTTTGTTTGTTTGTTTTTCCATAAACATACACAGCAGGAGATGATGAAAAGAACCACGTGTCTGCAAACAGGACACTCTCTCTGGCCATCATTCAGTTTATCAAATAACATTATTTTCAGATCTTTTACAACTGTGTGCTACAGGTCCTGCCCTCAGGATAACAACCATCTTGGAGACCCCGATTTTCTCTATTTTACCTTAAGCCCACACTTACAGTAAAGTTAAAATTAATCACATAAAAAAAGAAGTATAAAAAGTTCATAGTACAAAAAAAATCATACAACATAAAAAAAAATCTCATAAAAATTGAGACACTGTACAGAGAGAAGAAAATCCCACAGAAGATTCAAAGCTGCCTGCAGTTCTTAATGGTGCTACTGTGAAAGTGGTCTTCGGATTTAAGAAAACAGAACCACAGCTCAACATGAGTGCATGGGGATACATACAGTGGTTGTGTATCAACAGTGATTCTGCAAAGGAATTTATCTGCAAGTTTAAGGAGTTTCTTCCCTGATCCTAGGCATCTCTGAGCAATACAATGTACCTCATGATTTTGACAGTTTCATTATTTTAAGGGGATAAAAGTTTTGATACAACTTTTCTCCCTTGTCTTTCCCTGATTCAAATAAAAATGTTTCAAGATAACAGTCATATACCTGATAAAGGTAAACCCAGTTCTCCCAGTGCTCGTTGTCTTTTAGGATTGGCTCAAACACGACAAGATTCAGTGGCAGCTTTCAGTTTTGGGCACGTCAAGCCTGGCACTTCCATCCAGCTGCAATGACTGGTATCCAAACGTGTGAGTAATGATTCCCAAAATGCTACTTACACTTACGTAGGTGCAAAATTTCATTCACATTTCTTTTGAAGACACTCTAAACTTTCCGCTGACTGATTACGACTTGGATCTTCATCACAACGAAATCCCGGGAAAATAGCTTGAAAAGTTTAACCATTTGGGTGGGGAAAGTTCCTGAGCTTCTCATCAGCTTCTCCAACTCATCACTCAGCCAAAAAGCCTGGGGAAATGAGCATGCACAAGCACATAGATATTATTTCATATCTAGAGGTCATTACAGTATTGAATAACAGGTTCATAAAAACCCACAGCAGTGCAGGGCCATGGCAATAGACATGTCTGCAAAGGTCAGATGAGTGAGGGAATGTCAGCAGCGGTCCTCACTTTGAAGCCAGGTTCCTTTTATGGAGGGTAAAATGGGAGCCAAGTTTTGCTAGTTCAAAAGCCAGAATTTGTTTATCATTATTTCTTTGGAGTTCTTGTTTTTTCTTTGGACTCTCTCACAAATACCAAGAATTTGCTTGGGCATATAATGCCCATTAGTCCTATGTCCCATTAGGTCAAAAGGATTAGGTCATGGTCAAGTATTCTGAATGTAGGCAGGAGAAAAACATTACTCATTTTATAATATAATATCATTTTCTGAAGGGAAGTAGGAAAATGTCACAAGAAAGAAAATTGTCATCAATATTAGAAGGGAAACAATTTTGAGTTACACAAGAAAATGCGTACTGGGTATTTAGTGAACTCTCTGACGTGTACTCTTAAAACACATCTGAAACTCAGTGATGTAATTGCACAAATACAATAAGCTGATACCTTCTAGTGCTTGCACTATTTCATATGACACTTTTTCACGGAGCCTATTGCACAAAGCTTGTGCAGTTCCATTGCTTTGCTCTCTTTCTCTCCACTTGCTTAACATCAGAAATTTCTGGATATTGACTTCCTCTTCATTTGCTTGAATCTGCTGAATGTCTTTCATTTCCATTTGAAGACATTCAATGGCAATTTCTTTCCACTCCACGCCAAACAACTTTGCAATTACCATCAGCTGTTGATCAGTTAGCAAGCTTCTGCTTTTAATTCCATCTGAAAAGACATAAAACAAAAATCAGATCATGCTCATCTGATTAGACTTTTAATTTAATGACACCATTGATTCTGTGCAGGGGACATATAACAATGGGTATCTTATTAGCTAGGCAGTCAAAACTGGATTAACTGCAGCCAAGCACTGCAGAAAATCACCTGAAGAACTCTGAAGGCTCATAAAGACACCAATTTCTGAGCAACTGCAAGTTTACACGGACTAAGCACTTTTCCTTTCCTCTGTCACCATTTACTCACAAACTGAAGCTCTGAATGATGAAAGCTCCCCCTCTGGTGGCTACATGCACCCATCAGTAAATACCTACATGATTATTTTTGCTTATTCCCAGACTTGGCTTTTTAAATGGTAGAGATGCTTACCTGTATAATTGTTGGACCTCTGCTTTTTGCTACAGTGTTTCTCTTCTTCAGAAAAGCTGTTGGTTGATTTCCGTCTTTTGACACCTAAGGAGCAAAGCAGAATTGATGTTAATTTACTCATTTCACGTGCATATCACTTGAGCAACAGCAGCAAGCAGGGCTCACAGAAAACAATAAAATCTGAATCAACTTCATGTTGACTTACTGCTTGGAATTCTTGTTTGCTCATTTTTGTTCTGATCATAATGTATCCAGTCACCTGGAAAACAGTTTTCAAAGATAAACAACAGGTGAAGTAGGAATCCCCCATTGCTGTGAAGGTATTTAACAAATGTCATCCACAGGCAGCACTACACCCCAACTCATGCTTCTTTTCAGCAGGAACAACCTGCTAGCCAAGGCACAACATGCTTACTTTCTCTTAGTTTTGCTTTCCACACAGCTGCACCTGAGTCCAGTTCAACCAAAGATAAGGTGAAGTCATCAGGTTTCTCAAAATAGACTTCAATGTAACTTTTCAGCTTCAAAAGAGATCCATCAACAAATTCAATTTCCTGTAAAACAGAAATATTTTTAAAACAGACTTTTATCCAAACATAAATTAAACTGGAGGGATGTGGATGCAGACCAAAGTCTGGTCTACCCAATGTTTTGCCATTGACTTCAACAGTGTAAGGATTTCATCCTCAAGCTTTAGGTCTCTAAGAGGCAAATGCTTTCTACAGTGATGGCAAATTAATTCTTACAGCCAGTGCATGCCCTGCACTCAGCAGGAAAGGAAAAGTATTTTCTGTCATGTTTCAAATCTGTGCTGTGATGCACCAAATCATGCTTACATGGAGAACTTACCTCTGGAGTTATTTCAGCTTCTGGTTCACAAATTAATCTGTATCTCTTTCCGTTCTGTAGTAATTTCTGGCACACAGGGGGCTTGTCAATTTTAATGAATTTCTTTTTCGAATGTTTTACTGCTCTTGATATATCCTGAAATTTTAAAAACATGGTACTAAGCTCCTGTCGCTAAGGGAGCTCATGTTTACAACCCACATTGCTCCTCACAGCTCCTTGTGTCCTTCTCCACCCATCCCTACAAAATGCTACACAGCAAACCTTACAAAATGCTCCATACTGAACACATAACTTGTGGGGATAGTGAAGATTCCCCCAAAAATAGAGAATTGTGCTACATTAGTGAAATCAGAAGGGCTTCACAAACCAAATGGAAGCAAGTGTTATTAGCTGCTGTCCCTTCCCATGTTGGTCTGTGAGGGGATCGGTGAGAGTACAAGTGGTGCAAGTCCTGAGCTCTGTGAATTTTCCAAGAATATCCCTTAGACTCACAAGGATAATCAAGTCCAACTTCTGGCTCTGCATGTGACCACACAAACCCCAAACCTTTATCTAAGGCCGGTGTCCAAAAGCTCCTTGAATTCCAGCAGCTTCAGGCCATGCCCACTGCCCTTGGGAGCCTGTTCCATGCCCACTGCCTGGTGCTGAAGAACCTCTTCCTAATTTTGGTGGCAAACAGGTTTCTGACTTATTTTCATTTTTCATACTTTTCATAGCACCACGTGAACAAGCAGGTGGGCCAGTACAGCCGCTTACATATCATAGAATCATAGAATCACAGAATCACTAAGGTTGGAAAAGACCCACAGGATCATTCAGCCCAACCATTCACCCATCACCAATGGTTCTCACTAAACCATATCCCTCACACAACATCCAAACGTTCCTTGAACACCTCCAGGGTCGGTGACTCCACCACCTCCCTGTGCAGCCCATTCCAGTGCCTGACCACTCTTTCAGAAAAGCAGTATTTCCTCACATCCAGCCTGAATCTCCCCTGGTGCAGCTTGAAGCCATTCCCTCTAGTCCTATCACTATTCACACGAGAGAAGAGGCCGACCCCCAGCTCGCTACAACCTCCCTTCAGGTAGTTATAGAGAGCATTGAGGTCTCTCCTGAGCCTCCTTTTCTCCAGACTGAACAATCCCAGCTCCTTCAGCCACTCCTCACAAGGCCTGTGCTCCAAACCCCTCAGCAGCTTAGTTGCCCTCCTCTGAACAAATATCAAATCCTTCCCTTCATATTCAGCCTACAGTGAGAGAACACCTGCCATGACAAACCCAACCTTGATGAAGGAGTCGTTGTTCGTCGCCACGTAGACCCGGAACAGCAAGGAAGGGTCGTCATCGATGGCCTTGTAGAGGATGACAGCTCCGTGGTAGAGCAGGGGCTCCTCACTGCGGATGAGCGGCCCGACGGGGGACAGCGAGCTGACCAGCCACCGCACGTGTGAGGCCGAGAAGTCCGTGGATGGCTCGATGGCCGCACCCGCACCCTTGATGTGCAGCACCTTGAAGGCCAGGTGGGAGCCACCATCTGTGGGGACACGTGATGGCACTGTCAGCACGTGCAGCGTGGTCCAGCCTGCCCACCTCCGTCACAGGACTTACCGCCGAGGCAGAGGGAGTGCGGGAAGGCGATGGAGGTGAGGGTGGAGGGCGCCTCGCAGCGCACGTCGAACAGCGGGCCGCCCACCACCCATGGTGGCTTTACCAGCCCGGCGTATTTGCTCCAGGACAGCAGGGAGTAATTGATGGTGACCGCCTTGTTCACCTCAAAAATCAGACCGGTGACACTGCACTCGTATGTGCCTTCTGCATCCAGCTTCATCCTGCCCAGACAGACCCACATTGCATTGCATGATTTACATGGCAATCGTCTACAATTATTAATGTTAATTATTGCAACGAGATGCACAGGAAGCCACCCTGAGAGCTGCCAGACGAGAATCTACAGACAGCTGGAGTAAATTGCTTATTTTTCAAGATTTGGGGGCATCTTTCTTTATTGCTATGAATGTATTTGTGCAGCAATTTTTTTTCCCACTTAATTAGAATGGAGAAGTATCTTGATCAGCACACCATAAATGTAATACCCATTAAACATAAATGTATACCGTAAAAAAAAGAAAAACAAACAAACATACAAATATTGTCCTCCAGAAAGCTTCCTAGGGGTCACTTGCTCTCTCTGGGCCTATATAAACAGATAAAATAAAAATACATATCTAAGAGGCTGGTGAGAAAGTAGCATTACAGTTTGCAGGTTCTCTCATGCAAAACATGTGGGTTTCTTTTTCTAAACCTACATTTTCTTTTCTGCAGTGCTTACAGTGGGGCAGACAGTCCGCTCCTAGTGAGAAAACAGGAAAATCAGCTCATTAAAACCAAAGTAATTAAATGCTCAGGGAAAAAAAAAAGCAACACCTTCAGAGTTCTCTTACCATCTGATTCATTGCAAACTGGCTGTGATTCTTTATTTTCTTGTTCTTCATCTGCATAAAGAAGTGTTAAAAGTTCTCGTTAATACTTGTTAATAGCAAAAGATCTCACAGCCACCTGTGGCTTTTACACAAGGGAAAGGACAATGAGGACAGAATGGGGATGGTTGTCTCTGCTCCAGGCTCTGCCCATCCCAGCTTTATGGGATTTGCAGTGTTTGCACTGCTTCTGCCCATGGGGGTGTGCAGTGGTGCACTGTGCAGCAAACACATCCCATAGCCTCCAGGCAGCATGCTCTGCAAGGACAACCCACCCATTTAATTCCCCTGCTTTAACAAAGGAATACTAAGGAGAGTATTCTCAAGACTACAGTGTCTGTGCCAGCTCCACACAGCCTGGGCATGAAGATAGGCACCTGGATACAGCTCATAAAAGCTCATAACTCTCATAAGTTGCCCACAGTACTGGGAATTTTTCAAGTCGGGGTGGACCCATCCCCAGGATGGTCTCACCGTACCCAGCACCAACTCCAAACACTGAATAGAAGCTGTGCACCACTTCACAGTGAGAAGGGAGCCATGCTACAGCAGTACACCTGTCCTCCTTACCCGGGTTTACAAATGCCTGAACCAACCTCAGCGAACCCCAAGACAAAAGCAAGCAAGCAGAGCCGGGATATGGGGTGAAAGTTTTTGGCCTGAAGGGTTGAATTGTGCAAAAGCAACGGACGGAGCTCCTGCCATGAGGCATTATGAAATGCAAACAGCACCCAGCAAATGCGGTCCTTGCAGGCAGGCTGCCCAACCAACCTGCTACATCAGCACCTCCCAGGTGGGCAGATGGGAGAGAGGTAGGCAATCCATTATTATCTATGGGAAGTGCCTGGAAAATATCATGGAAACACCTAGGCAGTGAGCTGGATCCCAGCCTGGAGCAATGCTATTTTGGGCATGGAGCAGCAGCTGGGATTGCTCTGAGTGCTGTGCAAGAGAGGAAGTAGGGCTGAGCAGCGCGGGCTTGCTCTGGCAGCGCTGTTAATTAATTATCAGTGCTTTACACGCCTCCATTCGTACCACGCATGCTCTCTGCCTGCACAACAGTGCTCTCTGCAAGAGTTCTTGCCCCGAGGAGCAGAGGTCACCGGCTGTGCCGGCACCCGATCACTGCTGCAGGCCCTCATGCATCCTGGTGCAAAGTACTCATCCGTATCGGCTCCCAAATGTCTCCAAGAGCGGATATGGGAAAGAAAGAGCAGCACACTCACCTGACCGCCTTGTGTCCGACTCCTCTGTATCTGATGAGAAAAAAGCTTTCTCATTATTTAGTAAAGGCAATCGATGTTGGGTGAAAGCAGGATAAATAAGCTGCTCGCGGTATAACCCACACAAGTGGAAACCCACAGCCTCCTCGCCAATAACAAACGCTTCCTTCAATTCTTTCCCCGTCCATCCTGTTTTGCCACTTTTGCTGCCAACTGTTCAGCAGATTTATAGCCTCTGTGGACAACGGCTGTGGTGTACAAACATCTGCATGCATTGTGTGCGTGAGGCCAATGCCACATGAGCTGCTGACCCCCACTACTACAAAGCTCAGCACTGAGTGACTATGAAATGATGCGCTCACATAAATACCATTCTGCTTTTCAACATTCAGTCACTGGCTTAACAGTTCTGTACAATAACTTGGAGACTACTCCCAAAGAGGGAAGGAAAAAAAAAAAAAAAAGCGGTTTTAAACTGAATTTACATTTTCAAAAGAGAGAAAATATGTAAACTGCAATATAATGCCCACCTGAGTCATCTTCTGAGCTGCTGCTGGAGCTGCTGCTGGGGCTGCCAGAGCCACTGCCGGAGCTGCCCTCTCCTGAACGACAGGAAGAATTAAAGAAAGCAGTGCCAAGGGTAAGTAAGAGATGCATTTAGAAGTTTAAATGCATTAATCTGGTGGGTGTTAGGTAACGTGACAAAGCAGGAAAAGCACTGAGCCGTGCTCAGGCAGCAGAGATCAGCATCAGTGATCTGGGGTCACTCAGAACCTTTGAAGGTGTGTGTGATGCTCAAGGTGCATTATTTTGATGTATGATGTCCCGAACAACCCGAGGCTGTCCTGGAGGTCCCTGCACCCCCACATGTCCCATTTCACCCAACTGAATTCCATGGTTTTCCATGGGAGAGGCACCTACAGGTGCTGGTGTGTACCACCGTGCTGTGAACCCAGGCTGTGGATGTGCCATGCACACTTCTAATAAAGGTCTTCTTACAAATCTCAGAGTCACGCTCAGGAGGGGGCAGGAGGTTTCTGGTCTCACAGCTGCTCACCTGCTGGCAGCTCCTCCGCACAGCCCGTGCTCTCCTCACAGGAGGTCTCCAGTTCTGCAAAAGAACAGCCAGGGGTTACGCATGCATGAAAAAAGGAACTTCTGTGTGCCTACAGGCAGAGCTCCCTCCCCTACAACTTCACGTTTTACGCAGGCTTTATGCAGAAAGAGCTGACTGAGCCACAGCCATCTGTGTGTCAACCTCCACCACTTCCTTGAGCACCAAAAATACAGCAGCTTGTATTGCTCTGAATCAAACTGCAGCTGGGCTGGTCTGCAGGGCTGTGCAAGGGCACAGAGGGTATGCAGCCTTGCAGTGGGAGGGCAGAGGGCTGCAAGGATTGGAGGGAAGGGGAGGAACAGACAGATGGACACTGTCCCATGCACCCACGAGGGTGAGCAGCAACCCACAGCTCCTGACATCCAATGGACATGAAAAAATGGAAAGAAAACCAGGATGACATTATGGAATCGTGGAATCAGAGAGGTTGGAAGGGACCTCTGGGAATCATCAAGTCCAGCCTCCCTGCTACAGCAGGTTCCCCACAGCAGGCTGCACAGGAATGCATCCAGGTGGGTTTTCAACAGCTCCAGATGTGGCCACATCAGAGCAAAGGGGAGAACATCCCTCACCCAGCTGGTCACACTCTTTGTAATGCACCCAGGACACCATCAGCCTTCTTGGCCATGAGGGCAGACCTTTGCAGAGCTCCTTTCCAGCAGTTCAGCCCCCAGCCTGTACTGATGCGAGCAGCTATTCCTCCCCCACTGTAGGACTCTACACTTGTACTTGTTGAGCCCCATCAGGTTCCTCCTCACCCAACTCTCAGCCTGTCCAGGTCTCACTGGTGTGCCAGCCATCCCTCCCAGCCCCATGTCATCACTGTAAGAAATGGCAGTGAGGGACATGGTTAGTGGGTATGGTGGTGATGGGTTGACGGTTGGACTTGATGATCTTAGATGATCTTTTCCAACCTTAATTATTCTGTGATTCTATAATTGCCAGCCAAGAGGAACTGCAGAGACACGCCAAGGACCAGCATCTCCTGTCCTCCATCCCACCCCAGGCATTCCAACTTCAGCACACACACCTCAGCACTCAGAGCAGGGCATTACAGATCTAGCAGAACAAAAGCCTTCTCTCTATGATCACACACCGAATTTCCTGCACAAGGTCTCTGGGAGGTCCGGCACTGCTGGTGGTGCTCACTGAGTGCTTCAGTGTGGATGCACAGAGGTTTGGCAGTCACCTACTGAACTGTCAATGCAAGGCTAATTCCTCTCTTGGCATTTTTGCACTATGCAGATAACAGGGAATGAATAAGTAACAAAGGAACACGAATTTCAAAAATAAGTATAATGCCTCAAAGATCCTACCCATGAAATTAAAGCAATGCACATTGACTTTTCTATAGGCAGTAGTTATAAAATGGTGCTTTGCAATCTGGAGAATGGGAATTTCTAACACCCAGCCCACTGAAGCCCTGTATTTCTCAAAGTTACTGTACCGTGTTCATCTGCAGAGAGGGATTCGATTCCGCTGGAAGACAAAATGGGAAATGCATGAGAAGATCTGGCAATCCTTTGCCACCTTTTCATCCAAGCCAAAGAACGTGAGGAAAGAAGCAGGTTTTAAGGCAAGTTGAACAGTAATGACAGGGGGTGGTGCTTAAAAATGTATTTTCTTAAATGCTGCTCATGGACTTCAGCTCCTGCCCTCGTCACAGTGCTGCTGGGGACACCTGGCTCTGACACAGGGGTTTCCATGAGGTCAAGCCTTGGTCTCCAGCCCCTTTTTCTCTCAGGAAATGAAAGGAGCGAGAACAAACAAGAGCCTAATCAATAGTCCCTGGTGATTTTCAGACCTTTGCTCCGTGTTCAGGCCTGAAAGAGCAACAGGATGCAAACGTTATTCATCTTCTTCAGCAATGTATGAAGCTCAGACAGACCTGATGACCCAGAAGTGGCAAATGGCTCCCATCTGAACACCTGCTGGCGGTCCATGGCAAACCCAGGCATATCTTCATTGTCCTTTCTCTCCTGAGAAAGGAGATTTACTTTTATGGACCAGATGTGGAAACCTTTCCATGAAGCTCCACAAAGCCATCCCAGAATAACCATCAGTAAGCCAGCAGGTGACATCCATCTGTGCTTCACTTTGCAATCAGAAGCAAACACCTGGCACGTCTGCCTTCCCAGCAGTGAGAAAATAACTTCAGGTTGAGGAGCAAGGAAGGGAGGAGGCAAAGCAATGTGAGCAAAATGGAGATACTGCAGTTGGATGAGGAGTCTGGGTGAGAGTTCTGCTGGAATGGGAACTGTGATCACACTTGCATCTTGCAAAAACTACACTGAGAGTACTTGCAAGGCTGTGCAGCTTTGCCAAGTGCTGCCTCGCTAAACAAGATTTGCCTGCAGTTGGCTGATAGCCCTGCTTTGCACTCCTCATCAGCTAAAAAACATGTATTGAAGAAGAAAAATGGAGTGGGAAAAACAAAACAAAACATAACCAGCCCTATTCAGTGTAACAGATTTTGTCTCACGATCAATTAATTACAGAATTACTCCGGGGAAGAAATGCAGTTCCAGCTTTGTCTCGTGTCACGTGAGGGCTGCGTGGTTCTGTTGCTCAGCCCTCCCCAACAGAAAGCATAACAGCTTAACCACGTTTTGCAGGGAGAAGATAAACACTCTCCTCCCAGCGCCGTCACACAGCTGCTGCCAGCTTGGAAAACGGCCAGAGTATGGAAGGGTTGCTGGAGAATGGGGTCGGGGACAAAACCCCACTGCTGGGAGCAGGGATGTGGAATGGTGACATGGAGCAGAAATGCAGAGTGGGAACGCTGTTGGCTCACTGAGCGCTTTTGTCTGCTGGAGGAGATGATGCTGGGGATGGCGGGCGGCAGCATGGCCGGTCCCTGGTCTGGAGCAAGGGGGTATGGGGAGCAGTGTAAGGCCAGGATCCTGCACCTCACGTCCCTTGGGGCTTCCTGGGAGGGTGGGAAGGGAGACCGCGGGCTTGGACCTGAGCCAGCAAGGGGGAGGGAGCCGTTATTGGGGTGCAGAGAATGGGGAAATGGAGGGTGGTGGGACGAAATGCGTGAGGATGGTGCTGGGGCTGGGGGGAGGTGAGGGAGGGGGGCGAGGGAGACGGGAGGATGCTGGGGGATGGAGGTGGAGGGCGCGGAGGGGGAGCGTGCTGCGAAGGTTGGGGAAAGCGGGGGGGGTGCCGGGGGGATTGGGAGGGATGCTGAGAGGAATTGGGAGATCGGTCTGGGGGGGTTGGGAAAGGAATGAGGGCGCCGAAGGGTCGGGGAGGTGCAGGTGGGGGGTGGGGGCGTAGGGACGGGAACGGCGGGAGGATGCACGGCCGGCTGGGGGGGAACGAGGGATGCTGGGGAGGGGCCGCGGGGCGGGAGGACCCATCTCCGGGCCCGTGGGGCGCCGGGTCCCGCTCACCTGTCGGGTTCCGGGCAGCGGCGGGCCATCGCGGCGGGAGCAGCCGGGCGGCGGGAGCGAAGCGAAGCACCGCCTCCGGGGTGCGCGGGGGAGCCGGGCAGGGCGGAGAGATCGCTCCGCCCCACAGCGTACGGCCGCCCTTGTGTCCTGTGTCCCCGGTTATGGGGGGTTGGAGGGAGGTCAGGAGGATGCCCGGAGTGAGCGGGTAAAGGAAGGAAAACGTGAGCGGGAGCTCCCCGCTATGAGCCGAGCGCTGGCGGCAGGCAGTGCTGCTTGGGTGCTGGGGGGAACGAGAAGAGCCGGCGTGCTGCGATCTGCCTCTGCAGGAGATGCTGGCAGAGCTGCTAATAAAGGACACGCACAAAAAAAGGCAACAGGAGAAGAAAGAAGAAAAAAAAAAAAGAAAAATAAGAAAAGATAAAACCTAAAACAAGCCAAAACTTGCAGAAGCACTGCAGGGAAGGGATGATGAAAACAGGATGAAATGAGGTGCTGCACAAGAAGTGCTCCTGGAGCACCTGGGCTGCCCTGTGTGCAGGGAGCACCGCACAGCCGCCTGTCTGCCGTAATGGGCACTCACCGCACTGATGCAGCTCTGTGTGCTGCCTCACCAGGGCCGGAGGTCCCCACATCTGCAGACCTCCAGGTGCACTCCAGACAGACCCTGTGACAAACCCCATCCCTGAGCCTTCCCCAGACCCAGCAGCCCCAGCTCCAGGGTTCACCTTGCTGTCCCAGGGTCATATCGATGCCTCCAGGCCACCAGGATCCTCCCAGCAGAGCTTCCAGCAGCACTTCTAGCCCCGACCCAGGGCACACTATCATGCTCTTGTTTCAGTAACCCAAACACAGCACCTCCGGATCCAAGCCTCTCCCAGCAGCACTGGGGACAAAATCTAAGTGTTGGCACTACTACTGAACTGGCAGTAGTTTGCTTTCAGGACTTCCTCTCGCTGGTATTTGCAACTGTCTTCCCATGCAAGATGTAGATATGTACATAAGTTTTATCAGTAAAACTCACTCTGAAGACTGTTATGGGTGCCATTGAAGTGCTCAGTTTCCACATTCTGCCACCAGAAGGACGAATGGAGCTGGCTTCCAGAGCTGTTCCAGGACTTAATGTGGAGTGTTACTGCTCTCAAGGGGCTCTATGATGCTGGAAAATCCCAAATACATGTACAGAGGTTGCAGGAACAAGCTGTGGGGCTTGGGCTGCAAAGCTGTGCTGAAATAAAATGCATTTCATGCAAAACTCTGGAAAAGTGACACAGAGGGGTCAGATGAGGAAGAAAGAAGGCTGTGTTACTGCAGGAAATCCCCTGGCACGGAGCACAGCTGAAAGGAGGCAGAAAGGGCTCGGTCCTCACCAGCAGGAGCAAAGATCAATGACGTTGTTGTAACATTGTAAGTACTTAACTATACCCCAAATAAAGGGTAAATAAGAAAGAGAAGCGAGACAGAAGAAATGAGAAACCAACAACTGTACAATGCAGAGAGTTTGGGCTTGTGGTTTTGTGTTTCCCACGAAGGCTGCAGGCTAGATATAACAGCACAGAGTTTCAAACTGTAGGATGGTGTGGGCACGTCCTGTTTGCAGACCCAGAGACATGTGGGGCATGGCTGGTGTGGGGCCACCTGGTACCCAAAAATGGGGGGGCTGAGAAATGCTCCCTGAGAGCAAGCAGTGCCTTGTGGCACAGAGCTTCACATCTCCAAAGTGTGGCTATCACGTTCTGTCCCTGCTTTAGGTATTTCAATGCTCATATCAACAGCTGCTTCTTCTTCACTCTCCATAAGCTGCTGGCATCAGCTCCTTTGCCACAGGGTCAAAGCTCAGCACAGAAGTTCAGGGCAATCTGAAAGCAGCAGCGCTTACCTCCAGGCACAGCTTGGATGGTCTTATGTGACCATGACATTGGGACACCCTTTTCTCTGCCTTGCCCCATCTCCTCTCCTGCACCATCCCTTGTTCTCCTCCACTGCAGATGCACAAAGGTTTCTGCTGTATGGCTTGGGAAGGAGCAAGAGCAGCTCCTGGCATTGCCCCTGGCTGCTGTTTGCTGTTTGTATTTTCCTGACTTTTCCCAGACACACAGAGGTGAAGAAATACATACAAACATCCTGATAATGATGCCAACACAAAATATTCACAAATCACTCTGGGGCAGGCCCAGCCTGGCGCACATTGCTGACAGCAGCCAGATCACTTCTTCAAGTGCCAGCTTCTGGTCCAAAACACCCCAATCAAAACAACTCCACAGAGGCTCAGTCCCCAGAAGCGACTGCTATTTCAGCAACTCTTTGCCAGTTTGAGCTGGAGTCACACTGTGGTGAAACCTGCAGTCAGACCCAGGAGCAGAAGCACCTCAGTACAGCAGCGTGTGTGTTCCTGTATGGGACTGTGAACATACATGCAAAGGCAGAGAACTCACTGGAATGTATTGGGAGTATTTGAATGTATTTGAATGTATTCACATATTCATACAGGCAGTTGTGAAAGCGTCCTGTGCCAAACTTAAAATGTGGGCTTTAATTGTTCGCTGAGGATAATGTGTTGTACTGTACTGCTCAGTGCCTTCTGTCAGAAAATTAAGGTCTTTTCATTCGAACGACAAACGTGGCACATAATTTCATGGGATCCCTTTGCAGTCAGCTTAAGCTGAGAATCAGCTGTGCTCAAACTGCAGAGACAGCATCTAGTCAGTCCTCCATGGCCTGAGACTCTTCCTTATTCATACCTACCCTTAATGCCCCTGTTAGCATCCGGCTATGTAACCCTGTCAGTAGCTTTGCCCAAGCCCCGGCCATCCCATTTCTCATTGCTGTAAAATTAGATTTCTCCTCTCTGGCTCTTGCTTGATCCTGAAGTTAAACAAGCTGCTCCAAGACCATTACTTATTGATAGGAGCAGAATTCAGTCCTCCTCCTGGAAGGCAGGAATCAATTCGAATGCTGAAAGCTTCCAACACCTCTTGGTTTCAAGTGCCCTAACCAATCCCTATAGCTTGATGCCAGGCTGGGCACAACCACAACAAATAGTCCTGGATTTTCACCCAAAAAATACTGCTGTAGTCACTGGGGAATGGATAGCAGAACTTTCATCTGCCTGCTGCTTAATTTCTGATTCCTTAATTGTGTGTAGGCATCTGTCCATCACACAGCCATGGACTGCTTCTAATTTCCACCCCCTTCTCCAAAGACAGACCTCGGTCTTGCACACACATCATAGGCTGTTGACCCAGTGCTGTCACTTAGAGCAGAAATCACAACCAGCCGTTGTGGAGCGAAGGCATGGAGGGGAAAAGGCTGGAGACACATTACTGCGGGTCCTGGGACACAGGAACCAGTGAACGCCTGTCATTACATCACTGCATTTTCTGGATATTTGCTGTTCTCCCTCCCTGCAGCTCCTGGCACACACCGTATCCTCGACCATTGCAGAGCCGCCTTCCCCATCTCATCTCTTTTTGCCATTTGGGGGCAGTGTACGAGCAGAAGTGTCGGCATTCCCAGGGCTGTCCGAATGTTACCAGAAAGGCTTCAAGTGCTGTGCTGAGACCATCTGTACAGCTGAACGCCAAAAAGCACAGCCTTCCTGCCCCAGAGTCAGGCAGAGTAGCATGGGACACCAGGACTTAGCCTGAGAGTATTTTCTCCCTTCTTAAACCACTGCCCAAAGAAGACACAACCGTGGATGCAATGCACTACGATGGGGTTTTCCATTTTAGGGTACTGACTTTAGTGGCACCGATGGCAACAGCAATCCTCTCTCTATGTACGGGGGAACAGCTGGCAGCTTGAGCCATAGGATGCAGGGGACAAGGAGGACAACTCACTACAGCTTCTCCACAGGTGTGGTGTACCAGAGCAGCTACAAACATTTAATATCTATATGCCAAGTCCTGCCCCTGCCCTCACTGCCCCTGATGCCATGCATGGCACAAGGTGAGATCAGAATCTCTGCACACTGCACCTTGGAGTGTCCTTCTCTCCAGAGCAAAACAACGATGCATTTTCTATACTTTTCAGAATCTAAATGTCAACCATCCCAGATGGGATCGAATTAATAAATCCAGTGTGTGCAGAACGCCGGGGCCAGTTCGGAGGCGGAGGAAGATGACAAATCAGCTATTATGGCTCCTGAGGACCCAGACTCCTCATTTCCCAAGCCTCTGCCATCTGACCCCCACCGTGTGGGTGCCTCACAGCCCCACGGGCTCACAGCCGACCCACGGGGACACACAGCACCAGGGGCTTTGTGGGGCCCTTTCCTGTTGGCGAGCATCCCGCAGCACCGCCCGCGCACAAAGGATTCAACTCCGTGGTAAAAATAGCAGTTTCAGCCCGCCCCATCCAGCTGCCCTCTGTGATGCTGAGCCTCCGCACTGCCCTGAACAGCAGCCTCAATTTCCATGCTGCAGTTTTCACGGTTCACATCCAGTGGCAGTGTGGGGATGTGTGATGCTTCCTGCACTGGCGGGATGCTCTGGGCTGGCCATGTCCTCCCACACCCTTCCATCCCCCACCCTGCTGAAATAAGTGGTGTTTTTTCTCCTTTTTCTTCTTTGTTAAACATCCTATTGACCTGGTGATGCCCTGACTTGCCTCATTTTGAAGGTGTGTTGCATTTATCGCCAGCAAAAACCCCTCACAAAAGGGCTGCATCAGGGTGAGAGAAGCTCCATTTAATAAAAGCATCTTCATGCAGAATGGAAGGGAAAAAAGAGAAATAGTTTCCAGTGGGATGGCATTCCTTTGCCATGGTGGGGGCTCACAGTGACGCCCTCCTTGGTGGGGTTCCACCTGGGGGCATTCAAAATCCTTGCATGGGGGACCACAGAATCACAGAATGGCCTGGGTTGAAAAGGACCACAGTGCTCATCCAGTTCCAAGCCCCTGCTATGTGCAGGGTCGCCAACCAGCAGACCAGGCTGCCCAGAGCCACATCCAGCCTGGCCTTGAATGCCTGCAGGGATGGGGCATCCACAGCCTCCTTGGGCAACCTGTTCCAGTGCCTCACCACCCTCTGAGTGAAAAACTTCCTCCTAATATCCAATCTAAACTTCCCCTGCTTCAGTTTAAAACCATTCCCCCTTGTCCTGGGATGCTGGGGATGCCAGAGGACCGGGACCATCCCTGCATGCTGGGCTCCAGCACATGGACATGGTTTCACCTCCTGTGCTCACAGTGACCCCGGGATGTGTGTGCCCTGTGATTCATGCGAGTTGTGTGGGTGGCAGAGGGACCGCGCCGAGAGGAGGAGGAATGGGAAAGAATCCACTGCTATATTTAACCACAAATAATAGGAAGAGCCTGAGTTTTGGAGCTAAGTTGTAAATAACAGTGAGATGAAATCATCTCAGAAATTCATGACTGTATCACTGCAGGCCCTGGAGAACCGGTGTGACTAACAAGAGAGCAGCGGCTGGGGAAAATGTTGCCCCCTGTTTAAAAAAATAATGACTTTATTTTATTATTCCAGAGCATGGCAGCAGTCCTTCCTGCTGTGACAAATGGTGCTTGATGGGCCTTGAGCTGTTGCTGTGTTTTAACGCATTTCAGCATTTCTGCACTACACCAAGCAGCAGCACGCCGGCTGCCGGCACATGGACAGTGCTGGGATCCAGGGGCTGTCAGCAGAAATTAACATTGTTAATCAACAAACTGCCATCCAACAAATCCTGCTTGTTCTGTGAGCTACTTTTTAGATGAGCATTAGGTGTGGAGGTGCTCGTTACTTGCAATACCAGAAGACTCAGCCAAAACCCAGCGAATGAATGGGATCATCTCCAACATTAGGATGGTTCAAGACCCAGTTGCAGTGAAGAAGAATGCTTAGATCCTACCCATCACTTCATTTCTGAGAACACCCAGAATCATTAAGCAGAAGAGAACACCTCGTGCGGGAAGGACTGGTGGCCATGCACGCGTGCTCGAGCTTCTCTCACTCACTTTCCCTTTTTTTAATAGTCTAGAAGAAAATATTTGCTGGCAGTAGAGATTTCTGAGCTGTGAGGTAATGACATACACATGCAGAGTCATCTTCTTGTTTCTGAAGCCTATTGCAGTTACAGATGTGCTGAGAAGTATGCAGTAATAGAGCTCAGCTCTGTGGTTTTAATTCAAGCAATTCAGAGCTCTCCCCAGCTGAGCAGGGATCGAAGCAGGCCATGCCTGGGCATTTCCATCAGTTCCTGGTTTTGCAGAACTTTTAACAACTACTTATTCTTCACTTTGGCAAATTGGTTTGAGTGTTGTGAAGTCCTTCAAGGGTCTGTTTCCATTTCAGATCTATGTTGTCGTCCAGCACTCTGCATCCCTCCTTGGAGCTACAGGATTATTTCTGCTGCAAACTGCTGTGCAATGGGCCCTGCCAAAAGGAAACTTCGTTGTGCTTCTTCCTTATTACTTTCCCCATATTTGGAGGAAATGTAAAAGAAAGGGCAAGGCTGATGTGAAGTATCATTCTACCAAGGGCAGTGCAGGTAGCAGGCTTTGTGAGGACGGGTTTAGAGTTACACAAATGGTGATGGTCGCCAGGAAAATGAAACCCTCTATAAAGTAACTATTTGGCCAGGTCAGCTCTTCGGCGCCAGTTGGAAGTCAAGCCTTTAATAACTGCTGCTCCAAGGAATTGATGGATTTCTGCAGGGGGCATTTGCAGGATCGATGACTGCACAGTCCTTGCAAAGCTGGGGAGAGGCAGCTTTTGGCTCCTTCCAGAAATGCTGAGACTCCAGTGAGTGCCTCACATCTTGCAAGACACACATGATATATCTGTATGTAAACCGAAAATTCCCACAGCCAAACCTACGCCATGCTTTCTGCTGGGAAACATTGGCCATGGCAATGAGTTCTTGCTCTCCAGCCCTCTATTTCTGGATATTTTCCCAAAGATTAGGGTTCTTCTTCCCTGGTCCCAGCATGCACATTGCTCACCCAGCATCACAACCAAGGCTTATTTGGGATTGTTTTTTGAGTTGCAAGAAATAAGTTGGAGATGCGTAAGTGGGTGTCCAGCTGGCTAACAGAATGCATGTTAAATGTAGGTGTCCAACTGATGGGTTGATGGTTGGACTTGATCTTAGATGATCTTTACCAACTAGAATGATTCTGTAATTCTATGACTGAGACAACACCAGTGCACAGGGACACTTGTTACTTCTGATAGCTGCTTGCATTGATCTGCCAGAAGCTTTTGGTGCTCTGGATCATTATTTATGAAGCTTTGAGCTGTTGAATGTGAGCTCTAATACAGACGCCATCCCCTGGCTCTAGGCTTGCTTGTTTAAGAGAACTTCAGGAGCCTGGCCCTGAGCAGCTCTCCCCAAGCTGTGGCACATCTGGCTGCACAGCTGGCAGCCCCACTGCCTCCATCCCCGCTTTGCCTACCTACAGCTGCTGGTCCTCAACCACATCCTGTGACAGGGGGCTCACCAAAATGTTGGCTTTCCTGAGCCATCAGCAGGCCTTAATATTTCATGATGCTCTGACGCTGAAGATGTAGCTGATCAGAAAGGCTGTTAAAATGCAGCACTTTATTAATGCTTTGCACTGTGCAATGCTGGTTACTCACCGCCGTATTTGCCATAAAGATCCCATCAGTGATTCTCCAGAGCCCCATGCATGGCAGAGAGCTGTGCCCATCTGGGCTTCCAGCTCCTGCACTGCTCTGCTGTAAGAAATGCCCTAAGAAATGAAATAGAAGGAAATTCTGCAAATGAGATCCCTGAAGATCCCCTGAAGATGATAGGAAGAAATGGTTTCTTGATTATTGTATGAATCGCTGCGGCCTCTGCCCATTCCTGCATGTTGCACAGAACCTTTTTTTTTTTACCACTTTCTTCCTGAATGTTGTAAAATCTGCAGCAGATACAACATGTATGAGTTTCCCTAAATGCAAGGATGACAGCAGAAGCGTTGCTCATAGTAGCAGAAGTGAAGTCACTGCAGGTCGAGTAAACAGGGCAAAGGAAACCAGTCCGGCACCCAGGACCGTGACGCTGGTGGTTCTGCTGCTGCCTATCAGATTTGGCTTGGTCACACAGAGGGAAGCTGAGCAGAAAAGCACTGATCATGTTGTGCCATGTTTCACATGAATAAATTTTTCCATGACCAGAGCAGAGCCCACTCTCCTCTCTTGCTTGCCTGAGGAGTTTTGCAGCTGCAAATGGGAATCAGCAAACAAGACAGACAAGTGCGTGGGATTGTTGTGGGACCACAATGAAGAGATGAGTCAGCCCCTAGCACCGGTCACTGTGAGGTGACACGGAGTCCTGGCCTTGCACCAATAGAAGCTGTGATAGCAGGAGTGAAAAGCCAACAGAAAGCAAGCACAAACAGCTCTCCCTCCTGGACCTTGTACATGCAGCCAAAATTCTCTGTTGTAAGTGGTGAAATCAGTGGTGGGCTCTGCACCTGGCACTTCTCCTTCCATGGGATGCTCAAGGTTTGGGTACTGCTCTTCCCCACATCTGCGGGCATCACTCATCTCTGTGCCCTTGGCTACCGCTCATCTCCAAATCCTCAGGTTCAGCCCCATGTCCTCAAGTAGAACTGATCCCCAAATCCTTGGGTTCATCCACGCATCCTCTGCTACCGCTCATCCCCATGTCCCGTGGCTCAGATTATCCCCACTCAGAGGAAGACCCGTTCCATTTTGGAACACACTGACCACGAGGATCAGGCAGTGGGGTGGCCCCGCTGCTGACTCCAGAAGGAGCTCCCGAGCTGGGCTGTGCGGCTGCCACTACACCTCTGGCCCTCTGCCCCATCCTCTCCACCGCCGCCACCCCATTAGCCCATGAACCGCCGCCAAATGGCCCCATCAATTTTTCATTAGGAATCAAACCTGATAAAACCCAGCCGTGCCGCCGGGCCGGGCTGCCGACCCCAGACCTCGAGGTGCGCGAGGAGACCCGCGGGGTTGGTTGCGGGGATGGCGGGCGGGAGGGGCGCGGCGCCGTGCGGGGCTCCGTGCGGGACCTCCGGGGGTTGTGCGGGGCCGGGATGCGGCGGGGCGGGGGTCGGGCCGGGGGCTGCGGGGCGCGCCTGGCTGCCGCGGGCGCGGTGGTTGGCGCGGAGGCTGGCGGCTCTGCTCGTGCTGCTGGCCCTGCTGGCCGCCGGCTGCCTGCTTCACCGCAGGGCTTGCCCCGCGCCCCGGCCCCGCCGGAACGGCCCTCCCCGGCCCCGCCAGCACGGCCCCGCCGCCCCGCAGGGTGAGCTGAGGGAAGAGCGGGGCGCGGAGCCGGGTTTGCCGCCGCTACCCAGCTACGAGAAGGTGAAGCATCTGCCCAGCTATGAGGAAGCGCAGCGCTGCCCCAGCCGCCAAACCCGGGATGGGGATGGGGAAGGCTGGGTGTGCGGCTGAGCATCCGCGTATGGGAGGGATGCAGCGGTCCTTGCAGTGCTGACATCCCCGGGAGAGATGCTGGACACATTGGATGCGATGGGATGGGGGACAAAATGGGATACTGGCCACAAAGGGATGCTGGACGCAATGGGACGCTAAATGCAATGGGATGCTGGATGCTATGGGATGCTGCACGTTGGTGGTTCCCAGGAGGGATGCAATGCTGGACACCGAGGGCCCAAGGACGGTCAGGACTCAAGAAAAGCCCCCCCTGCTGGGGACATGCCATTCGCTGGGTACAACTGGAGGACATCAGGGTCTGCAGCATGACAGGCCTGCGGGACACCAGGCTCACATCATATCTCCACCAGGATGAGCAGTCCTGGAGCTGCTGCTCACCTCCCTGCTGTGGGCTGGACAAGAAAAGGGCTGAGTTGCCTAGGGCTCTTTTGCAGTGGCTATCCTTAGTGAGCAGGATGAGCAGAGAGCCAGCACAAAGGAAGGTGGCAGCCAGGGACAGTGAGTGCATTGGAGGAAGCTGACTTGGGGACATCACCTCTTGCATGATGCCATCATTAAGGTACAGTGATGAGAAGGAAAGGGCTGCCTGCAGCTCAGTCTGTGCCCAGATCACAATGTCATCAGCACAACACCACGAGCTCAGTCTGCCAGAGCCATCATTCCACAAGGGTGGGAGCAGCAGGCAGGGGCAGCAGGATCTGCAGCAGGAGCCTATTCCTTCCACAACCCTCAGCACTTGTACAGAGCCTTTCATTTCTCATCAAGGCGAATGGAGGAAAACAACTTGCTAATAAAATCCTGGCACCCTCTGGCAGCGTGCTCTTTATTTCCCTGATGCAGCTGGGATTGAGGTGAGGCCTTTTTTGTATTTTTCAGGGGACAGGGAGCCTAACTAGTGTGCAAAGCTCCAAGGAACTTGAGGCAGTGAAGAAAAACCTGTTCACACAAATCAGCACTGGTCCCACGTGGGCAGTGTAAGGCTTCAGGGTCAGGAATTTGGTAGGAGCCTCACGAGAGAACAGGATGACTACAAGCAAGTCTTCCTAAATGAATGAGCCATTAAGCTTCTCATGAAGTTTTTCAAATAGCTACAAGATGGCCACAGGCAGAATGATCAAAACAGCCAAAATTCAGAGAAAGTAGACTTTACCCTGCATCACTTTCTCACATGGAGCTTTTTGGGTGATGTTAACCCAGTGCTTGTGTGAGGATGGCTGAGAGAATGTCCATCTTCCCAACAAACAGGCAAACCCCAGGGAATGCATGCTGCTGTCCCATTTTCCCATCCTGACCAGCAGGGCCAGAGATAAGGCTTCAGAGCTTGCTCTGCTTTTCCCCCCATTTCCCCTTCTATTTCTAGGCGCTACCATCAACATTTACTAAGAATTCTATTCTAAAAAGCTGCAGTAATTCTCACCCCACCCTCCTATACCCTCAGCTTTACCTTTTCCAAGCCTGGTCCCACAGCTGTGCTTGCAGGGCTTGGTGTGCACACCAGTGCCACCAGTGTAATCAGCCACTGGGTTCATACCCAACATGCAATCTTAACATCCAGAATGCTCCGAGCTTCCAATCCACCAGAAAAAGGGCAGGAAAACAGGTTCAGCCTCCTGTGCACAATAAATAACTTTCGTGAGTCCAGCTGGATAACTTGAGGTTCCAACCCCAGAACATCAAGGCCAGCACACACACAAGTCTTTGCCAGGTCCTGGGTAGTGAGTATTTAACAGTGCTTTCAGCTGGCCCCAAGAAAAGCAAGATTGAGTTGAGTTTCAGAACTTGGTATCACCATTAGGCTAGTTTTTAAAAATTGCTTACACTGCATTGCAAATCTGAGCCAGGGTTCATAAATTTAACATTAAACACTTGCCATTAGTGCTATTTTGGGCTCAATTCTGGAAGTAGTAAGTGCTTTCTGCAAGTCAGTGGAAGGTGTTCACTGTGTCCCATGGCAGTACACCAAAACACTGGGGAGTTTCAAATTAGCTATATCAAAATTGTTGTTTTATTTAACAATCAAGTAAATCAATTAGGAGATCACCTAATGCATCACCTATTAGCTACATTAGGAAAACAAATAACAACAACAAAAAACAAATCTCAAACAAAACTCTTTATTTGGTTGTTTTAATTATGAAATTGATAAACTATGCAAAAAGTATCATATAATCATCTACAGAATGTGAGAAATTTGCCAGGTGCACAGATATTTAACAGGCTGATGGTAATTTAAAGGATTTATACTATAAAATGTTAGTTATGAACAACCTGCTCACATCTTTGCACTGCAAAGGGCTTTTATAGAGAACCTCTATCATATGCAGTCACTTTCCTATGTAAAAGACGACTAACAAGAATTGCATCAACTCTAGCTCTTGCTCCCCACAAAACGTTTGCTGATTTATACTTCTGTTTGACAAAATATGCCTGCACAAATGCTCCAGAAGCACTTATTAATATGGCTGGAAGGTCAGTTACTGCTGTACAGTTACACTAGCTCTTACTGTGGCACTGGCTGCTGCTCGTTCTCTTTCTTTAGCAATTTCCATCTCTATTTTGGCTTTGATTTTATTCCAGTCAACTTCCAGCTGCAAGAATAGAAAATGAGTACACAGAGGTCAACTAACATTGTACAGAGAGATCAGGTAGCCATTCACTAGCAGTAGATTCTGAAGACTTTGTTGATCATGATTCTTCAAGTATGACAACTTATAGTAATACAATGAATCAAAAGCACAGTTGAATTCTATCAAATGGATCTTTCCACCTTTAAGTTAAAAAAAAAAAGTGCAATATTTTTTAAAATACATCATTTCATTGCATCTGACAAAAAGATCCACCACGTCAGAACAGGAAAATAATTTGGATCAGTACAAATCTAACAAATATCATGAAATCTGCCCTATAACTCAGAACACAGCTCTTTATCAATAACATTTGCAGTATTGTTTTTGACTGGAGTTAAAGTTCACTAAGTAAAGTTAATAAAATCAACTAAAAAAAAAGCATATTACACTTGTTATTTGATATAACAGAAATCAGATTTCTGCTTGAAATTTGTCTTCTACATCTAGAAGTGTTTCAGCTTTATTTACATTTTTCTCCAGCTGCAGAGAATCGTCATCTTCTGGCTGTACTCTATTTCAGTGAAACTTCAGACAACAGATACAGCACAATACACACAGTGCAGCTGGGTGCAATAGTTGTCTTTGTTTCCAAAAATGCTTGACATGAAAACATGGATCACGGTGCACTTGAATGACTACAATAACATGTCCAAAACCTAGACAAAAATGGCTGCAAAGTTCAGTTTCACTGCTAGAAAATGAAGGCTGTCAAAGATGGGATGGGGTAAAATATCTCAACTGCTGCCTAGGCAGTTTTCAGAGTAGCTGTTATCCTGTTAACCAAGTTGTGAAATAAGAAGAAAGATTCTCTGCTGGGGGAAGATATAAATGCAACACTCGTATTCTTATGTGCAAAGGATAATCCCCCAATTCAGGATGCATTTGCTGGGTCCAGGTGCTTTGGATCTGATGACTGAAATCTTTATGGAGCTCTAAGAAAGAATGCGTTTGCTTTAACAGATGTCACACAGATGCTAAACATACCACAGAAAGGGGCAATCTACCATCTAGCCCAGAAAGCTACTTGCCCATGAAGCCAACAACCCTTGCCAGTGACACCTAGAAACTGCCAAGATATGGATTCTCAACATACATATTAGGTTCATAGTGCCTTATATATAAAGATGTGAGATATAACAACTAAGCACATTGTTTAGATTCCACGTCTGATTGCAGATCGGTGGCCTCAGCTGCAGTACAGAAAAGAGAAGAGCTCCCTGCTTAAAGCTGAGGCAGTTTTTGGTGGTAGGATGAAAAGTGAAAGATTGTTCTTTTCCCCAGGAGGGAATAGCAACATGATTTTTTTCTCTTTGATGTCCTGATCATGTTCTTCTCAATTGCTGTTTGTGTCTGACAGGCTGCTTTAAGAATTTAGATATCACGGTATCCAACAGCAACAAATTGACTTCATTAGGCAGGTCCCCTCCGAGCTTGAGATCCAGAAGACAAGACCACCAGAATAGAATATGTATGGAACATCCACAGTGGATGTGGAATACAACTCAAGGAACTTCCTGCACTCGACACCCAATTTTCAAGACTGAGTGCAAGGTGAACCCCCCTACACAGCCTCTGCCCACACCTTGACCCTGACTGCTTAGGAACCATTCCAGCTTTCTTGATGATTTAAAGGTAGAACAGTATTATCCAAGAAGGTTCTTTCAGAAGCATCAGAGGATTAACATGATTATTTGCTCAGCGATGGATCTCAGTGTGGTAGAAGACATAATTTCAGCTCAGCAGCTGAAAATGCTGCGTAATAACAGTCCTTGAAATCCACTGTTATTTTTCTACATTTCCTAGGTAAAGTACTGAAGAATTGTACTGTTCAGTAAGTGGATAGATACCGTGCAGACTTTTGTTCTTGTTTATGATATGAAACATCCTCAGAAGTGCTAAAAGCTAATGACTTACATTAGAAATCAAGCTTTATTGAAAGTGTAATGGGCACTGTCCAATTAAAGGATCCGAGCTAGAAGCTAAGATGCATTTCCTGATCCATCAGCTACAGTGGATGAAAGGATGCATTGAAGTACATGTCTCTTTTTACAGCTGCACCCTCAGAGTGCTTAGGAACACCAAGTGGAAGAGCATAAAGGCTGCTGGATGAAATTGCTGTCTAAGGTGCATATGTAGTACCTCTTACAAGGGTTAGGCACAGAAGATAACCTGGTGAAATCTAAGGTGCATTTAGCTTATGAACAATAAGCTATCTCCTCAGTCTTTAAGATCTGTGAGATACCGGTGCATTGAAATAACCTAATGATTATAAAGAGGCTTTCCAGAGGTTTAATAAATAATATATCTAGCTATTTATCATATTTGACAGAACAGTTCATAGTTCACATTTAATACATATCTGGTTACCTTCAAAGTTTGTTATTGCTGCTATCCATAAAAATATGTAAAAATGTTGTGAAGACATTTAAGAGCTTTGCATTCAGCCATTCTAAGCTCTAGCTCCCTGTTTATAGAAAACAACTGTGCCTTCATTTGCATAATCCTTGCCAGATACTAAATATATACATTCCATATCTGTGCCTTCAAATAAAACATATGCACAATGGTTACTAGCCAAGTAGCCACACATTGAGCTATGAATTTGCACTGTCAGATGTAAAATCTTAAGATTTGCATCCACATTTGAATTGAAGTAGGAAAACTGCAAAGCAATTCCACCGTAAAAATGGCTGCAAAGAACCATCTGACCTAAGGCTGTAGGAATAATTCCAAGGGATACTTACACCTTCTGCATACTGCAAGAATCTTTTGTTTGTTTCTTTTTTACCAAAGTCCTCTAGGAACTTCTGTCGATAAGCCAGGACGGTGTCAACATGTGTCTTGTGCTTTACTGCTAGCTCTAGTGCCCTGGAATAAAACAGAAAGGGGCTTGTCAGGCTATATAATGCTCTGGCACAACTACAATCACCAGGGCTTTACAAAACGATACACTGAGCAGCGTTTCAGCTGCAGGCAAGGATTCCTAATCTACAGAGCCAAGTAGTTCCACATCAGTATCAATCACAGGAGGTTAAAAGAAGCCAATTGATGTGACTGTCTACTTTGTGATGCATGCTATGAAATATATCCAACAGTTTATTTATGTTGACAGCCTCATCACACCACTGGAGCTCAACAATAGGAGTCTTTTTTGCAAGAAAATGGAAAAGAATGCATAGAGTTCAGCACTCTCAATACAACAGGCAAAATTAATCATTTTTAAGAACATTATTATAGTCATAAATTACTTCTGAATATTGTTATCCTGTGCACTTCAGTGCTGTGCAACCTATGCTGTAGTTATATTGTATAGGTGGGAAAGATAAGCTACCGGACCAGTATCATTGATCACCTTCATATCTGCTTTCATATGAATCACATAAGAAATAATGTTGGAAAAATGTGTTTTTTATGTCATACATATTAGGCAACACAATCCAAAACAGAGATACATGAGGAAAGAAAACTTTTTGCCCCAAGTGATATGAGCATAACAGCATGGCAATTAGCAGCAAATGGCCCCAGATGATTCTTTCAGAAAATGTGTATTCTTGTTTAAAGGAGAAACTCCTACACTGTTTTCTCATTCCTAATTCATATTTCATCCACCTACACAGTGTTGGGAGTCCAAACAGACTATTTTTAGCTACAAGACATTTCAAAACAGCTTTAGTACTTCGGGGGTCACCAGCGGTGTGACGTATTGCTAAGGACCTTTCTATGTCAACAATGTGAAAAAGGAAAATGTTATTTAAACAGGACTCTAAGCATGTTTCAGAGTTTTATCACAGAATACTTTTATCTTCTAAATCTGATAGGAAAAAAAAAAAAGGTTGTTTTACTTCTTGGGTTATTTAGCTCTGGACAATTTCAGATAGAAAATTACTGAAACTATCTGTAATAAAACAGTTGAACTAAGAAATTTACAGGTTCTCTTAATAAGACTACTTATGAACATACTGTATTTAAAGAAATACTACCTATCCCAATTGTAGAGATTAATGTTGACTTGAATAGCTTGATAAATAAGGCCTGTTTGAAGGAGTAGGGTTTCAGCTTCTTGTGTGTTTCCACTGAACAACAGCATATGAGCCATCCTTGACTCTTTCGATGGAAGATCTTTGATGGAATTGATGTACTGAACTTTGTCTATCTGTTAACAAGATGCACAATAAGTTTAATGAGAGAAATCAATTAATTAAATCACTTTTGCAACAGTTTAACTTTGAAACTGTTAAGTCCACTTCCTTACCTCACCAATTGATGCATAGGCAATTTCTGCAGTAGCCATGTCTTTGTTGGCAACTGCCATAGCAGCTAAACATGCCCACATGGTTTGATCCTGAAAGGAAAAAATACGCAATTCCTAAAACTTCAAATATTTAACATTATAGTAAGAATGGCTTCTCAAAGGAAACCCATCAGTCCTGAAAATAATGTATAGGAGTGCAATATTTCCCAGTATGCCATTCACTGCATTGTGGTCTCTTCACAGAAAGCCACTATTTAATTATTTTTTAGAAATCCCTCATTATAAAAACTTTGCTATTGTGATCAGCTGAGACTGACAGTGTGGCTGAAGGAATGGTTAGCTTTCAGACCTCAGCCAGTAATAAACTCTTGCCACAGAATCATTTTATGACCTCATCATCAGTGTACCTGTCATAATTGTGGAACTACAGTGGAAAACAAAGCATTGAGCAAGGTTGAAGCATTTTAACCTGATTCATACTAACCTCATTTCACAAATAACTACTGGGACTGTGATATTGACAATCACCAATCATTTATGATAAGTGTACTACAAATGAAAGATAAAGGAAAAATTACTTGACACTAGAACCCTCTGAAAAGTAAACAAATACTTTAAAAATCTGGTGTCCACCAGGATATTTTCAGTTTGTTTTATGTTATATAATGTTATATAAGAATTATATTATATTTGAAATTCAAAATTCCAGTTCCCACTACTGAAAGGAAGCCAACTACTAAAGAGGCAACAATCAAACTGGTGACAGAACTGGTGTTATTTAGTGTAAAGAAGAGAAGGGAGACTTTTACAGCGTCCTTCTGGAATCTAAAAGAGGCCTACAAGAAACACGGAGAGGGACTCTACCAGGGAGTGAAGTGAGAAGACAAGGGATAACAGTTTTTAAAAAAGGTAGGTTTCGATCAGCTATGAGAAAGAAATTCTTCACTATGAGGGCAGTGAGGCCCTGGCACTGCTGCCTAGAAAAGGAGCAGATGCCCATCCCTGAAAGTACTCATAGATGCTGGATGGGTCTTTGGGTAGCCTGGTCCGGTGGGAGGTGTCTCTGCCCATGGCAGGGGTTGGAACTTGGTGATCTGTATGGTCCCTGCCAATCAAAACCAGTCTATGGTTCTATAAAATGAGGGAAAGGAGGCAGGATTTAAGGGGATTTTTCTTTTGCACTGTCAGACTCACCTCATCTGTTGCTGTTGCCTAAATACATACAAAAGAAAGCGAAGGAGAAAAAAAGAGTGAAATAGAATATGAAAACATACAAGACAAAGGTATGTGGAGATAAAGAATAGCTTGAGTCAGATACATTAAGACCTAAAACATAAGCTTTTTACTAGCTTCTCTGAATACTTGTGTTTAATCCATCTGGACTTTGGTAGGAGTACAAGTAAGAACTGCATAATTTTTCACCACCAGCCCTAAAATCATCAACAACAAAGTAGAATGGAAATAAGACCCAACATCTGATATGCAACCACCAATGTTAAAGTCATATTCAAAAACCATTTCACTGTCACACTTTGCTTGTAGCTGAATGTTGCTGATTATTAAAACTTACCTTGACAAAGCGACACAACCTGACAGCATCTTCCCACTTAGAGCTACTAACATACTCATGAAGAATCACAGGGTAAGGTGAAATATTAACGTGAATAAGTGAACCATCTGCTCTTCTGATTGTTATTTGATTTCCAACAAAATGTACAATCTGAGGGTTTTTGCTGAAATCACTGCATAGAGAAGGAAAAGTCAGTTAACATTCACTTCTTTCATATTGAAAAGAATGTAAGAAATACAAAGAAATCTTTATTATTAAAATAACACCATGATTATACTTTATTTTCAAAGCATATAGAAATCTAAGCATCTAGTTACTCAACAGTTATAGCCATTTGGTAGCTGTACTGTTCCCTAAATATAAAATGACAGCTATGCTGACCGAAAGGAAAATACAAACTGGACAATTGTTCAAAGAACGAACTTAAACATAAAATATAAAATATTTTTGGGCTCCCATACCTCTTAGAAGGAAATTATGAACTTAGTTACTCTCTATGAAGAATTTCCTATTGCATATATGTGCTGAAGTAAGTAAACACAATGAGACAGAAATAATGTTATCTGTCACCAGATATCTTGATACCATTCATTTCTAGCAGATACTTTAAATAGGTCAACTTTCTTTTTTTAAAAATAACTAAGACATTATTTTGAGATATCTATTTAAATTTTGCTTCTGCATCAAGATATTATACTCCTTTTAAACTGTGCAACATTACTTGAACTCCATAATTCTTTAAGGAATGAACAAAATGGTTAAGATATACAGTAATATTACTGTCATCAAAAAGAATACATTACCTTGCATCTTTTTCATACAGAGTTTTTGTCAAAAGATCCTTATCTACATAGACAGTGTTGGGGTAGTACCAGACTGTAAAACGGGTATCCTGAATCCCACAGAGTAAGTTAGATGTGTCGTTCCAAGCCAACGTTTGAACCATTGTTCCTTAATTTAAAGATAACAGAGTCAGGTGTAGTTCTACAAGAACCTCTAAAATAAACGTGTACTTCTTGAAACTTTCCTGGAGGTACTCAATGGTCAGACCTCGTTCGTGGATCACGAATCTGTCTACAGAATGTACTTTTAACTAAAAATATCAGAACATTTAGATTTCTTCTTACCTATTTTGATAATTTTCTGTTCCTTTCCAAACCTTTTAACTGAAGTAATGTAAAGGTCTCTGTTCTTATCAATAAAAGCTATTTTTCTTTCATTTGTGAGTCCTTTCTGGTCCAATGCAATCTCCACAATTTCTGTCTGAAGAAGGAAATATTTGATTTTTATTTTGGATTTGATTTGTATTGTGGATTATGTGGTGCTCAAACAAATGAATGCTTAACAAAATTCAAGACAAGTGGATTGTGAAGGCACTTTTTAGGTGTCTTCTCCATTGAATTAAGCATTATATCAGTTGAATTTCACACAGACTAGAGCAAAACTACAGCAGAGAAGAGTTTAGGAATTTACTACAAGACTACAAAAAAATGGAAGTGGCAGTACAAAAGCAGCCTAAAAGATGAATGTTTACCTCCCTCTCTCTGGAGAGGCTGTCTGATTTTGTGTTTGGTCATAGCAGAAGAATAAAGAAAAGCAAAACACAGTTCAGCCAATCATTTTTTGAAGGAAAAAGAGTAAAAGCTCTGATGGAAGACAGACTTTCCACTGGTCTTCTTGCCTTCGATATAAATGATTGCAGTATATGCAAAGGAAGCCCAGTTGATCAGTTTTACTGCTTACTGAAAAAATTCACGTTTAGTTTCAGTCTGTCACGTGCCACTGAGAAGCATGCTAGTGACTGAAGACAACCTAGAGTATATCCCTTGGTACATAAACACTGCATAGAGAATCTAATCTTTTAAAAATTTATTTTCTAAGAGTCAACTAGAAACATCAAATTGCTTCATATTAAGATTGTAAACCTTAATACATTACGAAGGCCACTATTGATTATTAATTTCAAAACAACAAAAGATTCTGTAGCCTTCACCTTACCTTATGGGTTAGAGATTTTCCATCTCCTAGTGTCTTGCCAGATATAGCATCAAATATATAGATGACTGGAGGAAAACAAATGGTTTATTAGTTAAAACCAACAGTTCTCCATAGATTTGAAAATCAGTTTCATTTATTTTCAGAGTATCATTTACAGTAATTCACTGTGTCCCTGTGTTGCCCTTGAAAATAAGCAGAAAACCCCACAACATTTCTCCCCAGTGAAGATCTGCTGACATCGCCCATATTTCTGGGATATGCAGTGAAGATTTTCTATTTGCAACTTGCCTAAAAATAAAGTTTCTCTTTCTTTCCTTATCTCTCTCTCTCTCTCTATTCGTATGTGTGTGCTGCACATGCCACCATGTACACACAAAACCTTTTATACAAACTATGCATATGTCCACATACCCCTACAGTGTGTGTGTATATATACATAGACACACAAATGTGTACATACAGTATGTGAATATGTACACAGAGACAGATGTGGGTATTCAAACCTAGAGAAATCAGTAACATCATAATGGACACCAGCTGCAACTTAAACATTTGATTCAGCACCAGTCTGTGGAAAACACAGATGTGAGAGCATTTCAGAAGCTCGATAACATCCCACCTGAGGTTTCAATTTGTTACCTGTAAGCACATGCCATAAGATGAACGTACACGTTCACTCCAAAGGATGGCGATGTTAACATGTTAATCCTGCTGTGTCTGTCTTTCTCTAGGACGCAGGATGTTGGTTTGAGGTCACTGGTTATTTAGGCAGGAAAAAAAAGAAACTGCAAGAGCAGGTGTTCAGAAAGTATTGCTTGAGTTTGCAGAGGAGGAAAAGAGAGGGTTTTGCACAAGCGTTGCTCTTGGCAGCTGGTTAAACATACAAAAGAAAATGAGGTGTTCCTGAGAAGGGGTATTTTTCTCACTCAATTTTATGCATGACTCCCTGCATGACATTTATTTTGATCTGGCTATACAAACCAATTTCACTGCTACTGTAATAGCTGTAGGAAGTGAGATTAAGGTGGTAAAGAGAAAACTATTGCACCTAAAAGGCAATTAAAATGGATTAACTTTTCACAAATAACTTAAGCCACAATGCTTATATGGCATGTCAGAAAACAAGTGTTTGGGTGTAATCTCAACATCACTTTGCAATCACTTAAAACCTAACTACTCTCTATTTTGTATCTGTAAATTAAACATATAAACAAAGCTTAATTTCTCTCTTTGATCATCCAGAGAAAGAGAACAGCTATGGTGTGCTTCTAACACAACACATACTGTACTTCCATGAGAAAACTGCTTTTAACTAAGGCCAGCAGATCCTTCCTGAGAAGCTCTCCTCCCTCCTCCAGCCTCCCTAGAGAATGAGGGAGGACACTAAGTGCAGAGGTGCATGTTTTTTTCTGGATTATTGGAAGAGGAGGAATACCCATTGAACTGCTCTGAAGTTATGCCTGGCTGTATGTTAAAGTCAGAGAGCTCATAGAGAGCTCCTTGCTGCGACGTGCAAACTGCTTCCTGCATCACACTCAGCCATCTCAGATATTTCTATAATGCACTGCATTATGAAAAACAGACCTGCCCTCAAAATAGGGCAAAGAAAAAAAATGCATCTGCTAGGGTGAGTGCAGAAGAAGAAACAGGCTTAGATAAGCCACAGCTTCCTGTGCCAAGAATCTGTTTTCCCATGTGCTGGCATATTATAAGGCTTTTTACCGCTACGGGTGGGACTCATAGCTAGGATAGGAAAAGAAAAATCCCTATTTATTAGCAGAATGGGAGCTCCTACCAATAGGATCATTTGGAGGGCTTATTTTGAAACCATAGCCAGAAACAGCCTCTGTAAATTACAGTTTTGATAGAGATTAGCCTGTGTGCAGAGCTGGCTGACAATATCTTCAGGACACGTAAAGCAATGGTTGGGAGTGGGAGGTACAAGACAAAGAATTCCAAAATTCCAAAACTGTCTAAAAGCAACTGGAACCACAGGCAGGATGGTTTCACCATTTCACTCTAACACAAAACCTGCTCCTGTGCAGATGGGTTTCCACTGATCCCCTCTGTCCATGCCACAGGAGAAATACAGCTATCAGGAGCACCACAGCCCTGGGCTGGAACATTTGCATGGCCTATAAATGACACTGCTGTGAAGTCAGAAGTCACAGTGCTGTGGGATTTCCAGTGACAAATTTAAATCGTCGCACAGGCAAACGATGTATTTGCATCAAGAGAGAACAATGGAAAAAAAGCTGACAAAAATTTTCCTGTATCACTCATTAACATAAAAAGTTCACTCTGTCACATCACACATTATAATTACAGTGCTTCTGATGCCAAAGCACAGAATTTAAGACCAGAAAAATCAACAAGAGCACAACACTGAGACAGAGCACCACAGCCTCACAGCTACGGTCACATCAGCTGCACAGACAGCTTAGCTGCTGTAAAGACACAAGTCCCCAAAAGCTTGTGTCTGTACAGAAAAGAAAAGAACAGCCCAGAGCTACAGTTGATCACTGTTAAGGCACCGGTAGCTTCTCCGAGAAGCAGTCAAAGAGAAAAAAAGATGCTGAGGGACTTCTTTAGAAAATCACATTTAAGAGTGAAAACTCACAGTGCAATTATTCCCTGCACGTATTCCATGTTTTCCATGATGCATTACACCCAACTGGAATTTCAGAAGTATATCATCCTCTTTTGATTTTTTAAACAAAGGTAAGTAAGAACCATAATTTTAAGTCATTCTTTTATTATAATATTACCGTTAATTTATATCATAGATAAATTCTTAATGCTCTATGCCTTCTTTGTACAATAACTAGGCTGTGTGAGCAGGGAAAACCAAGTTAAATACAAAGACGCTGAAAACTTCACAACAAATTAGTAGCAAACATGGAATGATTAGAACTGAGAACTCACCCTTTTCATCAGCTTTGTCTTTGACTGCCAGAGTATCATTACTCAAAGATACTGTCTGGGCATTTAAAATGTCTGTTCTCATTCCTGGAAATTTTGGAGAGGAAATTAATCTTCCTTCATAAGAGTATAAATAAAGTCCTCCACCATCTACAAGAAGAAAATGCCTACAAAACCAAACCAAAACGAAATTTAAAAAAACAACAACAACAACACAGAAATGCAAATCATTTAATAATACAGAAAAGAATGATGATCACTTCAGCCATTTGAAGACAACAGTCTAACATCACTCAGTTTCATGACATAACTTCTAAGCCTTGCATTTCAAAGTTATATTCTAAGAGCTTTGTGTGGATGACTTTGGTTTTAATGTGAATGTTATCTCTTTCCATAAGAAATATTTATTGTCTGGAATTACAGTGATTTTCTTGGTTGCAGATATTTTAAGATTTAAGTCTCATAATGCATGAAGACTCAGCATTTGGCTGCACACAGAACTGCCACATGTTGCCCTTCAAGAGAACTCTGACTGCTAGTTTGTGTACTGTGGGCATACGCTTGAGAAGTAACTCTAACACCTACAGCCAGCTTTAAAATAGTAATACCTGCATCATTTCCTTCAGCGTGGATTATAATGTACTATAATGTAAAGAAAACAGAAGACACTTAAGAGCCAATTGTCATCTATTAAGACTCATAAGTGAACAATACCATATTTGCCAGACCACATTCCAATCTTTTACATAGGATATAAATAGTGCTGCATAGCACTAGTTGTCTGCTAAGTACAGTATCTGTAGTTCATAGACACAAAACAAATCCATAAACAAAAAGCCAGCTGGTGAATGCCAAACTACTGTAGACTCTCCTACAGAAGTACATGGATAGAGCTCTGTGACAAATAATTTTCAGGAAATACAGATGAGAACATTTTTAAATTGAACAAAATAAGTCATGTTTTTCAAATATAAATATAAATATATAAGAAAAATAAGAGTATTTATTTCTTGTTTTGCATAGCTGGCAATACTTCTAATCAAAAACAGAGGCCAAAGATAATTTCTATAAAGTGTATTATGCTTCAAAAAAAGCAGTATAAAACATCACAAAGCAGATGTTAGTGTACCATAGGAAGATTTACTTTCTTCTATAGACAAGAGGATAATCATACCTATGTAATATATAAGATTCATTGCCATTATCACGTATATGACAAACACATCAGCTAAGCTTTCACAAGCTTCTTACCAGTACTGAACATTTTTTCTCTATTTCTAAAATTCTGTGTGTGTTAAATCACAAAACAAAAGTTTTTAGGAAATACATCTTAAGGAAGTATCTGATAAGGAATATTATGTAATGCATTAGCTACCTTTCTGCTTGTAGAATCAAAGTAACTGTTCCTTCCTTCAGGTCAAAGATAAGTGGTGTATTCCAGTTATTTGTGCTGCAAGAAAGAAAGCCAAGTTCATCAATTGTTAAATCCACTGTCTTCATGTGTCACTGTAAATACAAAGCTGAATTCACCATGTAAAGCACACACACTTTATTCATTTAACATTTCTGTGAAGGAAGATTTTGAAAAGGAAAACAGCATGCAAGAAGTCAAGTAACACTGACAACCGTTCAGTGCGATCCAGTAACACTTGTGCCTTCAGTTTCGCATCCCTTCTCACTCAGTGGTCTGAGTGGAAAGCAAAATTCCATTTATATGGAACAAGAATATATTAAAAAATATTTCTGAATTGCAACTCAACTCTCTTACAGTGATCTAGAGTCAGGATGGAGCCTCTTCCCTGCGTGCCCTGTTACACACTGGATTACTGTTAACATGACTTGTCTCACTGCTCAGTTACTTTAGGAGTAAACTTTAGATTTCAGCATAAGAAACAGAATATGATGTTCTTAAAACATCATGTAGGATTAAATCATTCCTACTCTATTCCAAAATAATTGGCATACCAGAAGGAGTATTCAAAGAAGACAGTGGATGGAATCACCCAACTGGGGTAAATATACTTGCATTCAGCCAGCACTACTGCTGCCTATACCTGAAAAGAGTAGAACTTTTTGTAGCAACACATACAGACACTGCACCAACAAGAGGCTAAGAAGGAAAAGATGGCAGGAGGAGTGCAACTATACTCTCATTTTCTTCTGGTGATGCTAGATAGAATATTTCAATTAGTTTCCAAAAGAAAAATTCTGCTGCTTTCTTACAAGGGTTAAATAAACTCAAAAAGGCTTTGTGAATATATATTACTTACGAAAATATGTAACACTGAAGAGAAGTTGAAACAACCAAATGCCCATAGTTCAAAGAGGCCTTAATAACTCTGTCACGGAACTCCAGCAAATCGACTGCATCATTGATAACATTGTGCACCTAATCAAGAGAAATTTGGGGTTGAATACAACGGCAATAGGCAGCAGTAATGCTCAAAGAATAAAAACTACTGAAGAGTCGGATGGACCGCCTTAAATTTAAGAAATAATCAATGCTTAATCGGAACGCAGAAGGTATAACAAAAACATTAGATGTGAAGCTCTGGTGATTGAGGCTGCCTGAGCGTCCCCATTTTAAGGCTCACTGTTCAGCTGATTACTTAAACAATTTGAAATGTGATACTTCAGTGATCCCACCAAAATCCCATTCAAACAACTCAGCAATATCCAGGATTTGGACAAAGATATGCTGCTGAGATATTAGATAGCTCTACTTAATATACTTTAATGCAACCACATTCTGAAGGAAGAGCAATGTAGGCATTGACTTTAATAAGCAGGTCATGTCTTTGCCACTTATGTGAAAGTCTGCTCAAATTACAGTGTTTCAAGCAAACCAGTTTGTTTGTAACCAAGTCAGATTTTTGAGCTCAAAGATTTCAGGCATCTCCAATGTAAGGATTTCACCCAGATTTCCTCCATTTTGTAACTGATCACAAAACAAGGATGGATCTCAATTATTATGGAAGACTAGCAATCATTTGCAAGACATATTAATTACTGTGTCCACCACAGTGATACGTTCATAACTTTGCTACTGTAACAATGACAAAAGAAAGCTTTTTAGAAGCTTTTGTAGGCAATGTTTTCCTTTGTAAATATATAGGAATCAAATAAATTCAGAAGAAAATAACACAATAAGATGTTAATCTTGGATCAGTGTTAGCTATCCTTCCTCAGTTGTTTGCATATTCAAACTCCCTGGAGTTATTAGCAGAGCCCATCTGTTACGAGTCGATGTCTGGGAATGAAAGAAGAAATATGAATTTTTACCTGCTAATTTGTCTTCTGTGTTCCCAGACACTGACTCATATTATCCCACCCACCGGACACAACTGTAACACAGCGTTCCTGTTGTTACAACTTTTCCCAATTACATAGTCAACATTAAAGAATCAAGACACGAAAACATTTAAGGGCCTAATTAGGAATTTAGGAACTTGACTTTGATACTGAAAATATTGGCTTGGTATCTAATGCCAAATGTGCAATTTGGAAAGTTTTAAAGATGGAAATCTTATATTACCCCACTGTCCAGAGTGAATGTTGTGAGTCAGTGTCTGAGAACACAGAGAACAAATTAGAAGGTAAAATTCATATTTTTGTATTAATTCACAGATATTTGGTAACCTAAATGTGGATTCAGGCCAAGATTTTTCAAAGGAAGGATCCTAAACCTAAGCTCCAGAAACCACATGTAGGGCCTGCTGCGATTCCAGCAGGGCTGGGACTTGGCAGCTCCCACAGAGGCCAGAGCCCAGTGCTCAGTCCCCAAGGGCTGGAAGCACCACGTAGGTACCTGATGCACGTTATATGATATACAACACATTTCTGTAGGTTTGGAAGACCTGAATTTAGGCTGTAATACAATATGTGGTGCAGGAAAGCACATTACAACTTTTTACAGCCTTAGCCAGCAAGTAAATTTATCTGGAAATGCACTGAGACAGCAACGTTCATCATAGCCTCATTATCAACAGGGATACAGGAAATCTTCCTAAACAAGCAGCTCCAACAACTGCTGGATGCAGGTAAGGCAAAGAAAGCTCCTCTATATTGTCTGTACTTAGTGATGTAGTCTCATCTTTGCTGACAGTGTTGGTAATTCTTTTGGTTATGGTCAACGTATTGTTTTCTGCATAAACATTTTTATTTCACTTGAGGTTTTCTCTCTCATGTAAGCAGCTTCCCACAGCTGTGCATTATTCTGGAGGATAAGGTACTTCTGGTGGTATGATCTTCTGTACAAGGCAATTTTATGATAATCAATAATGAATAATCAATAATACTTGTTACTTGAAGACTGAAAACTCAAATCTCTTATTAAAAAAAGGCCTTAGAAAACTGCTACTCTGAATGCACAGTGTTGTTTAGGTTACCTGCATGGTTCTTCTCTTAATCAATGTTATTTCAAAGTTCTTCCACTCCCAGCGTTGCTCCACAACATGGGCAAAAATGACATGTCCATTCCCACAAGCTCCAGCCAGTTGAGTGCCATCCACAGACCAAGCAATATTAAATATGCTGCCAGTGTTTGGCTTCTCTAAAGCATAGGACCACTTGCAGAGAGAGAGAAAAGAATTCTTAATTTTTTCTGTACTTCTTGGATGTAACTTATTGTAATAAATAGAGTATTGTTAATATTTGTAAAGAAACATATCAGTGAGATGAATGCTATTACAATTTTAATAAGTGAATCAAGGAGATTAGATTTCTTCAATTAGATTGCTTGAAAAGCAGGGACACAAAAAGGAAAGCCATCAGGGCAAAAATCAAGGATGTCCAGTTGTCTAGTCACTTAAAGTGCATCTAGTCCTTCATAAACTATGGTTACCACATAAAAACTTAAGTGGATGTACTTAGAAACAACTACAGTGGTACAGCAATCTTAAACATCTGCATTCTGTTTCTGCTGCAGAGGCAGCATGGGGCAGCAGCTCCTCCTGCACACAGAGTTGCCAGGCTCCTATTGCTGCTCAGAGGGCTCCCAGCACTGTGACATTGGTGGATTGAGAAAAGCACTGGAAGTGATGCTATGCACCCTTCTCCTAACACAAAAAAGATGCTGGATGCCTTGCCCACTTCTTTTCTCTAGGCTCTCATTGTTATTTTATAGGTGAAGGATGTATTAAAATTTCCAGTTGCTATGCTTGCAACAAGAAATTGAAACATGACTGCAAGCAAAGTAGTGACATCTGGCCGAGCCTTGGAGAGAAGCAGAGAAGCTTACATTTAATACTAACCGTAATTTTATTCCTTTTCCACATTTATGTTTCCTCCAATGAAAACCCTTATTCAAAAGTTCCCCCAGCCTTATGTGCAAAGCTCCTCTCAAGTTTAGGTGGGTCCACATCCACCAATACATTCTTGTCAAAAACGAGAAGAATTTTCAGACCAAGAGCTTTTTTCCCCTGTTTCTTGCATCTCAGAAATACGAGTCATCCCAAATCTGAGAACAAGCATTTCCCTGAAAGTGGATGACTAAAATGAAATAACCTTTTAAGGACTTTTGGGATTTAAACCAGAGTTCAAAAATGAGATGCAAACCTCAACTATAACTTCTTCAGACCTGTTCAAGAGAATATTTTAAAAAGTATTTAGCTTTCAAAAAGCTACCTGAATATTCAAATGCATTTGAAACCTGAAGAATCGAATCCTAAAGAAAAAACATGTGACTGAAATTAAATGCAACCATTGGATTCTCATGACTTTCAGATACATGATATTACACCAAAGGGGAGACAGCTGGAAGAAAACGCTCACCTAATGTTTCTACCATGTTTCATGTTCTGATTTCTTTTGCAGTACACATCAGACCAAAGAAATATGAAGTCCTTCATGCAAAACCTTCATATGATTTATATGAAATGATATCACAAGAATCATATTAAAATAAAGGTGTCAGACTCCAACTTTCAATAGCAGAGAAACACGACGGGATGAAATTCAAGCTCCCCACTGTGCTAACCATGTGCAGCACACTATATAAGATGACCTCCTTAGTTAGGGCTCTTCCACTGCCCATACACATGAAAGTGAGTGAAAGACAATGTCAGCACTGACTGACTTTCCAATTGCAGGCACTCAATTTCAAGTCTTCAGCTTCCACGCCTCTTGGCTTGGAAACACCATTCACTGCAACTGGAGAATGTAACTGTATGTTGGTTTTGCTTCTTTCTTTCTTTTTTTTTTTTTTTTCTTTTTTAAGAAAAGAGTGAAAAGAGTGTAACCCACTTTTCTGCCTCAGTGAGATGAACTCTGTATGTAACACTCCATAGCAACCAAGGGCATGCCACTAACTTGTGTCTGACATCCTCACCTTGGGAACGAGTAAGGTGCAGAGCTGTAGGACCAGTGATCACAACAAGCACACTCACAGTGCTCCGAATGCCTCACAGCTGAGACATCTCACAGCTGACCACAGGTGATCGAGCTGAGCATACTTTGAAGAAGCAAAGTTTCAAAGTTGGATATTAGGATCTTCCCAAGCAGACGAGGTTTTTTTCTAAGGCAGTTTACATTAGATCAAGGCAGTAAGCCATCAACTGAACACCAAATAAGGATGCCAGAAGAATCTGTCTTTAGCGATGCTTTCTCATGCATAGCAGACACACTGCAACTCTGACAGAGGGTTCTACAATTTGTTTTTTCAGGTATTTTAAAAACTTATTGCCAGCTGGTAACCTAACACACGTATATATTTTTAAATATAAAACAATTAAAGTTTTATTTTCCATTTCTTTCTGAAAGCTCCCAGTATAACTCAGGCCACCCCAGTGACTCGTACTCCCTGAGGATGCCTGACACATCTATTGTGCACACAAAATGCTGCCATCATTGAACATAATTCATCTCTCCACTTACAAGACAGAAACAACACCTAGAAACTGAAATAGACTGTATATATCTCCTCAATAGACCAAGTTCTTTTAAAAATCAGGGTGTGAATATGACTGTATGAATGCTGTACCAACATCAGTCAAAATGCTGCAATATTACACTTTGCCATTACTGCTTGGCTTATACTTTTCCTGTGCCATAATTAATTCTTTGTGAATTCAATAAACTACCTCAAGAACAAAAAGAGAAGTCACAGAAGTTGGATTTTTAAAAATATATTACATAAATATCTAAAAGCAGTAATTTAAGCTTCCCTGTTGTGGTTACACAATGTATTAAAAAAGCTGAAGCAGTGCAGCCATTGCATGCTGCCTGACTTCCAGAAACGGAAACTGAGATGTGGGTCAAACAGCTTTAATGAGCAGCTCCAGAGAACTCCATGTCCCAGGAACAAGGACAGCCTTTCAAAGGTCAGATATCGATTACTCAGGACCTAATACAAAGGATTTTTAGTTATTAGTAGTTATTATTTTTGGACTGAACACAAAAAATTAAGAACAGTTATCCATGTGATACCAATGAATAAATACTTCAAAAAGAAATGCAATGAAAAAAAAAAGAGCCGTTTCTTACATTTTAAATGACTAACAATAATACTAATTGTAGTATTAATACTACTACTACTAATAATAATAATAATAATTGTTATTGTCAACTGTGGATGGTTAGCTGCTCCCAGCTGGTCTCTGCTCAGGGTCTCTCTTCAATTACAAATGTAATGGAAGGTAAACCTAATCTTGTAAGATTACAACAATCAATTATCCAAAGCAAATCTAGATTTAGGTGCATTAGAAATATCTGAACGTGAATATATATACAGAACCAGCTTGTAGGAAATGTGTATGTCTGTCTATGTATGACTCCACACATTTTATATTGAGTATAAAACATGAGGTTTATTATATCAAACCCCACCATTGTCAGGCCTTCAAGTCCCACCACACAGGAACCCACAAAAGATTCTACAAAGCAGACACAGCATGCACAGCAGGTGCTAAGGAAATCCCGTGCTACGTGTGAATACACAGCACCTGTGCTGCTGAAACACACAACTAAGAAGGGCTCCTGCAAACATTTTGCGGACTTAACTCTGGTAATTAATGTTAATTACCAAGAACTGACTGATCCACCACCCCCAGGGGAGGTATTCAGCTGCTTTCCTACAATTCTCCTGAAATCCAAGCAAACTTAGAATTGTTGAGTCCAGAAGAACTAAAAATAGGATGATAAACTGTCCCGTATAAATTCTTAACCTTAAAAAATGAAACATTGATTTAATTCTTTAAATAGATGATTACTTCCATAGATGATCCACATGTTTTCATTTTCTTCCAGAAGTCACATTAGCCAATTCTAATAAATTAAAATATGTCAGCTTGGAAAGAATTGGTCAGCAACATAACTCCATGGGAAACCTATCTGTAATATTTTTTTCTTTTATTGAGCTACAAAGAATTCAGAATCATGACTGTTAATAAAGGTGGATGAAACAGAGACAGTGCAGAAAAAGCCCTTATATTGTTATACTGCCAAATGCATATCTTTGTGAAGCAAGGCTAAAACTAAATGTAATGAGATCAAAGCTCATAGTAACTCTATAGAAAACAGATTTGTTGGGATTTCCAGTGCTGTAGTGCAGTTCAGTTCTAAGCAGTATGAAAACACATGCATGGTATATAGCTACTTCCAAAATCTCACCATCTTTTTTCTATTAGTCTAATATCTAACGTTAATAGGAAGGATATATGATAATACGAATTCCGCAGAATGTCCTGGATTTAAATCATGGCTTTAATGAGAAAAATTATTTTCAAAGTTTCTTTGTGAATATCTGCAACACTGTGGTTTTAAAATCCTTAGATGCTTTTTCTTCTCATTTGTCAACAGTTTACAACACAAGGAAAAGGGAACGCTGCTAACTATTTAACATCTGACCAATCCTGGACATGGGCTCTCATTATACTTAAGTCTATCATAATGGGAAAAAGATGAAAAGACAGAGCTCCATGTTTGTAGCTGTAGCACATTACTCACATTTGCTCCCAGTGCAGTGAGGAGTAGCCATCACACTTGCAGAACTTTTCCCTTTATTTTCTATAGATATTCCCTAAATTTTATTCCAGTGTTTTTATCTATTACCCTTCTACAGTCTGTGAAGCACTTGGGACACAACCTGTCTTTGGAGTGGATGGGTAGAGCCCATTTCCCACAACATGACGTGGGAGCAGAACGGAGGAGGAGGAAGCTAGTGAATCTGTCATTCTTACCATCTCTTGCTGTGTAAATATTTTGACCTGATCAGTAATGGCAAGGGAAGCATGCAGAGCCACAGGAAATAGCTTACGTAAAGGAACTTTTTAAGCTCTGCCCTCCATCCAAGTGATTAGACTCTGAAAAGCCACGAACACTAGGAAGGTTCAAGTCCATCCATCAACCAGCATCACATTTCAGTATTTTTAAAATTAATCTCAGTAGTCTCTACAGGATTAATGATGACAGACAATAGAGCAGACAACAAATTCCAACAGTCAATACCAAGCAAATTTTGTTTGGTGTAACCTTAATAATTTCTCTTAGATAAATAATGCTAACAAGAGGCAAAGGTGATTTTTAAACGAAATGAAATTGTTCTAGGAGTTACTATTCCATTTTTAGTTTTCTTTTCTTAACGTACAGCTGCCAGAACAAAGTATCCAGGAAGAAAGAAAAGAATAGGAAAAAAGAACATACGCTAACAGAATTTAATTTAATTATGTCCCCAAACTGAACACATATGCTAGAGAAGAGTTAATGATATATATATCGCCTGATGGCTCCCCGAGGAGCAATTTGCCAATACAGCTCCATTACATCAGACATAATAAAAATGTCTATGTTGACCAGTAAAAGCCAGGTCTGGTTCTCTTCAAACTCCATCACTCTGGTGGTATGTGAATCATTCTTCCATTTCCCTCAATATTAGCAAAGCTAGCTCTTTAGTAACTATTTATACTTAATGTCAGGAAAGAAACTTTCATTAAAAATCATGACTTTTGAAGATAACAAATGATCGTGGCTAGCAGCTGAACACAGAAAAGCATCTGGCACTAGCTACTGTACATGTCTTTGCTTCTTTAAGAGTTGAGTAGTAAAGCAGGTAAAAGAACCCTTAACTTTATGAAAAAATAAACCCATCTGCATTAAAATTTTAAATAAATTCCACAAGTTTATTCAATATTAAATACTGATTAAAAATTACTAGTTTTCAGTTAGCGGGAGTCTCAACTGTACTTATAATAAATTAGATTACATAATGACTAGCAAGAGAAACAGTAATGCCCTGGGGATCAGAAACAAAAGCTGTTTGCTACAAAACAGCACACATGACAGCAGAAAAAACTCCAGCATTTTTCTTCCTTTTCCACTACATCAGTCTTTGCCACATTTAAACTTAAATCTGTATTGAGTGCAAAATGCAATTTAAATTGTTGGCATCACCCCCACAAGAGCATATTTATTTCAGTTTACCACTTGCTGATGTAGCTCAGTAATCCCAGTACCCAGAAGGGAGGCAGAAAGCTGTTGTGGAAGAGGAGAGCATGGTTTCAAGTGCTGTTCTAGGAAGAATACCAATAGTAACAGCTAGTCTGGTTGTTTAAAGCATTGTGTTACACACTGTAGTCCCACACAAATGTAATTACACTAGTATAAATATACCTTGTTCAGCTGCATCAAGCAAAATATGCTATACATATATAAAACACACCTACAACAGCACACACACACACAGGGAGATGGGAAGGCCACAGAGTAGGTTATTCCTTGAATTGCATTTGAAATAGAGTTACACAGAATATTAACCAGAGAAAAAGATCAATTAAAATTAGGTGTGCACTAAATGATCATGGCCTACATCAAGGAATACTGCTGAATCCAAATTCAGTACAGAAAATGAGTGATGAAGACTCAGACCTTAACCTGTACAACTGTTCTCATAGAAGGGCTTTTCTTCAAGAACCTAAAGCTATCTGAGATGTGTCATCCCTGTTCATGGGAAGGAAAAACCCAACATACTGAAGGCACCCCAAATGATCACAGCAAACACTGTTTTCCCAAGCTGAGCAAAAGAGCAACAAAAGCAACAGCAAAAGAGGTAGAGAACGGGTCAATGAAAGTCCCAAACCAGCAAGGTTTGATGCAATCCGAGTCTGAACAAAAAGCTGCAGAACCACAGGAAATCCACAGAGACAATCAGGTCAATCTGTGCTCTGGGCTAACTTACTTAGAATACCAGTGCAGGCAGATGAAACCGCATTAATTTTAATTGGAGAAAAAGTCAAAAAAAAATAAAATATTTGGTCTGCAATAGCAAACATAGAGTAAAGCTGTGAGTTGGGAGAAAAAAATTATTTTTTAAGAGAGAGAAACAGAGGCATCTCTATTAGCTGCCTTTCTTCTATCAGAGTTATTTTTAAAGTTAGGAAGTAATAGAGAAGTTCAGATGAGAAGACAGAAGTCTGTCTTTAGCTAGAATAATTGTCCTGTCCATCTTTCAGCAACATTCCCTTAGCTCCTCTTTTAATACTGCTTTTGCCTTATAGTTTTTAATGTCTGACCTCTGCATTTTGTGATTTCTTTGTAAGATGTGCCTATGAACTCTTATTATTCTTTCAAGAAAAAAAAATGCAGAGGAATTTTTCTTCCTGTATTATTTTCCCCATGGCCATTGTTCTTCTATCTGCTTTTTTTAAGGCAGGTTATAGTCACACAGCCCTTGCTTGTTATGGTTAATAGCTGCTTTTTATGCTTGTAAATGTTTACTGTGTTTTTGTATTTTTTAAAGAAAAAAGCCACAAAAGCTATAAAAATAAAAAGCACAGAAAAATGTAATGTCCTGAAAGACAATATTATCTGAAGAAATTTTACCTACCCAGAACACATTCAGAAGCACATCTGGGCAGATCAAGAAGAGAGATACAGATACAGCCAGCAGAAAGGTGTTGGAAGTCAAAACTGGTTTCTGCTAATAAAAATACTTGCCTGTACACGTATATCCTCAGGAATATTTACTGTATTATCAAACAACTTGCAGAGTTCCACATCTGCTGTTTCTCAGAGTTGTTACTTACCCCAGTTTTATCACATAGACGTAAAGTATGGAAAGATCCCACAGCAAATAATTCTCCATCCCCAGACCAAGCAACAGACGTTATTGGATACTCATGGGGCTGTGAGCTGTACAGAAGATGCCCATAACTGTCCCAAACCTTTAAAAAAATAATTCTATCTATAAAACCATATTTTGGGTGCACCTATAGAGCTATCACTGCCCCTCACAATTACAACAGTTACAAAAATAGACTCTCCAAGTTACTTGAGTGCATAAATAAATCCCACGTTACAGTTGACTTTTCATTAAAGGCTGTTCCCAATCAATACTGGTTAGTGTAACACAGTAGATACTGCTTCACTGCTATGACAAATATTATATTACTGTGCATAAAATATTTTGAAATAATGAGTGTTTCCTGCACTTCACTGTAAGCTGAAAACATAACCACGAGATTAATTTTATTTGTACCTGTTTCCCAAAAATGCAAGGCACCTCTTCAAACTTTTAAACCAAAGCGATTTTCTTACTGATTGTAACTAAAAGGAGACCAGGAAGCCAATGAACAGAGCAAAGCCGTTTGATTTCAATACTTTGATGGATATGGTCTTTTTTTCATCTAATATTTGTATATGTTTTTCCCACAGCCATTGGGCATTCCGAGAATGACAGAACCAACGTGTCACACAATTGAAAGTTCATACTTAAGGGAAGAAACACAATATGTGCTTTCCATTTTGGATATAAAATATTCTAACTACACAATTTCCTAAGGGATTCACTAATGCTCCTGTAACAGAAAACAGTGCTCTATCTCCTCTAAGTTTACGTGTCATTACTTTTTCCAATATATGACACAGCTTATATTATTCAAGCATTCATTCCTATATTTTTACCCATTTTCCTTTAGGAGTTTGTTTCAATTGCATTTTAATAGTTTTTATTCTGACATTTTTCTAATTTTATGCCTTTAGATGAAGCAGTGTAAATTCGGTTAACAAGTTTTTCTTGAAAACTGAAAGTCCTGACATTTTATTTTGAGCTTCAAAGTCTTACTGAAATTAGAAAATCAGAATGCCTACAAATAACTTTTTTTGGTCATTTGGCTTCCCCTACAAAGTTAGCCAGTACATACCTTATATTTACAGTCTTCACCTGCAGAAAGGATAAGTTCATTCACTGAGTTCCAGTCGGTTTTTAAAATAAGCCCATCGTGGGCCTTCCACTGAAATGGAAAACAATAAGTTAAACATAAACGTAGTAAGTCTGAGAACTACTTTTAATATTTATTGTTCAGCAGTAAGTAGCATTCTCACACCCCAACGCAGATCAGGTTTTCTATCAGTGCACATGCACTGACTTATTCTACTTTGCAGAATAAATTAAAGACAGCAAAGAACACAAAAGCATCACAATCTGCATAAAAGGCTGTTCCAAATGATTGTGTCTGTATCTTTCTGTGGTTTTCAGTAATAAATGAAAAGGGAAAAGCTTCTGTATCTTTGTGATTCCTCCCTGCTTGCAAAAAGCGAAATCCTTGATCAGCTGCCTGAAGAATATGCACAGAATAAATTGTTCCTTTCTGTAAACAAAACTATTTGACAATCTCCTTATTCTCAAAGAACCCTAAAGCTTTAATTGAAATAAGAGGTGGAAATTTAAAAAAAGAAAAAAAAAAAAGAGCAGCATGCACACTGGAAAACTTCAGTATAAACTTTGAATGTTTGGGAAAACTACAGATACCACCTTTCACGTGGGAAGTGAGACCTTAATGTATTTACAGTACCTGCAAAACTTTAACATTTGGTTGGAGGGGTTTAATAATGAGCTGCTTTCCTGAAGTATAGAGAACCTTTTCAGAATCAGGTCCCCAGGCCACTGAGTACACCGGCGTTCCTGTAGGATATGAAGAGAACATTTCTGATGTCTTAGCTGATCCAATTATGCTGCAGTCGCTTCAAAATGCTCCCTTCAAACATACATCAAAGATTCAGAAGCAGGAGAAAGCAAACCTATGGATTTCTTTAGTTATAAGATTGCTTTTTGGTCAAATCAAAACTATTTGCTTCTGCAGCCTCACTGACCCTCACATTTATACCCCCAATTGATTTTGTTTCCCTCTAAAACACAAAACAAACACCTGATCGATTTCTTCCAAGATACAGCTGAGCAAAACAAGATGAGATTGTTCTTCTCATCCTTGGGCTGCATTTCATAAACTATCAGAATTAGTTTACTAGAATCAGTTTATTAGAAACAGTTAGTTTCATAAACTATTCAGATGTTTCAAACTATTTCAAACTAGAAAGAGTGGCCTGCAGAACTAACAGATTTTTCCCAGTAATTTGGAATAAAAAAACAAAAAAACACACAAAAAAACACTTTTTGTTGATCAAAAACTCCAGAATGATGCATCTGGAATAAAGCTGACTGTACTGCTTTACAAACAAGCTGTGTTGCAGTTTTTATGTGATCTTTTCTGGAAAAAAAAAAAAAAAAAGGAAAAAAAGAAAGTGAAAAATTGCATGGAAAAAGCATCCAGGAATAAAAATGCAAACATTTTCTATAGTACTCGACAGGATTAGTCTCCCCTCAGGAAGAACCAAAGTATTACAACTACTTCATTCCTTGCAAATGTACATGAAAAAAAAAAATCAGAAGAGATTGTGTCCAAACATTTGTTTCTATCACACAAAAGCCCTGTAGCAATAGGCAGCAAGTTACAGCACTGTCTCAGCATCAGAGGACACAGAAACTGCATATGAAACTGCAAGAGGGGCTGTGCAATAAGCTCCAGGCAGACCATTCCTTTTTACTTTTTGTAAAGCTTGCTTCCATACCTTCTGAATCAGTTTTCACCTATAGACATAATGTCCTCATGAGAACATTATCAATGCCTTCACATCAACGAGGCCTCTGAAGACACAGTAGAATTGTCTAAGCATAAGCACCTACAGCAATGAGACGTGCCCAGGGGGAGCTTATAGACTCAAGTTGTGCCAGGAGGGGGTCGGGTTGGATATTAGGAAAAATTTCTTCTCCAAAAGAGCAGTGATGCAGTGACACAGGGAGTGCTGGGGTCACCATCCCTGGGGGTGTTCAGAAAGTGAGGGGATGTGGCACTGAGGGATGCAGGCAGTGGGTGTGTGGGGTTGGGTTGGGGATCTCAGAGGTCTATTCTGACCTGAATGGTTCTGTGATTCTATGACACAGGACTTGAAGGAGCTCCATCCCCACGTGGAAAGAGTTTGGAGTTGGGCACAATAGCCCAGCTAACCCTGAAGGGCACCAGGAGCACCCATACAGCCCCAACCAGAACTGCACCCAGAAGGCCCATCTCAGCTATCAGAAACCACAGGATGAGCAAACAATTACAAATCTAAAACATTTGTGTTTGATAACTTCATAATTTTAGAGGAGGAAAACAGAAGGCAATTCTCCTAAATTCTCTGAGATCTGCACTTCTTAAGGATTCATGCATATTTTACCTGATAACTAGTTATCAACTTAATGAATTTTGAGCAAATTAGCCATGGTTTGTACAGTCACCATGAATGATAATAAAAAAACCTCAAGGCTTAACAAATCCTCTGTCAAGGTAAAATTCTGAAATACACTTCTGGCACACTAAGCTCCATTTCAAAAAAGTGACTCACACATCACTGAGCTTAACCTGAGCTTCCACATATTTGAACTTTAAACTGAGAAATGCTGTCATTGCTCCTGAATATTTTTGTAATTTGTATGTTTTCACTTATAAAGGCATTTATTCTATGTTATTTAGAGATACAGGATGATGCAATTTTTTGAGTCACCCACGACAAGAGGCAACTCACAGAAGCACACAACACAGATTAAGCAGATCTGGCACTAGCTGTTCTCCTACTGGCAGCAATCTATGTTGAAAATGACATAAATTCTATCGCCAGCAGTACCGAAATTCTAAATAAACTAATTTTTGTCCTGCTCTAACGCTGATTTAACAATCAGAAGACTTTTAGATTTAAACCAAATGTTTCCCTTTTTTATGATGGCTGACTACTTAACCACAATTGCCAGGGCTTAACAGCAGGAGCTAAGTTAACTCATTTCCTTCTGCACTTAGCAAGAACTTGGTTGGGAAAAGACTGCCAACTCATTGCATTGCTGGAGAAAGAAACTTTCCACAGGACAGAATCTACAGCAAATTGCACTGGTGATAAACAGCTCGAGGAAAAATACTGTGTGACAAAAGCTGTGATAAAAGCAGAGGAGGTGGGCAGAGGGAAGAGCTGGAGAAGGGAGATCAGCATTAAGCACACTTCTTCACATCCCTGCACTCCACTGGCAGATGTAAATTCCCAGTGAATTACCCCAGTGTCGATGCGTGTAGCAGAGAAAGAGCTCAGGTTGAGTGACAGAGCAGCCACAGAAGCCACTTTGGTAGATGCAAGTCTCCTGAGACTTTTTTCTTGCACAGGAGTAGAAAGACGAAACCATACAATTTTGTGTCTGTGGCAGCACAATAATAGGAGTTCCATTCTGCATTTTGAATTTGTTCCTTACAAATAAGTTCTGCTTCCCAACAAACTTTGTAATTAGACTGCCTGCTCTGCAACTGCTGTGAGTTTGCTTCCAGTAAGCAAAAAGGCAAAGGAAGAAACTTAAAGTTGGAAAAGTAAAGCCAGACTTAAGAATGATGCAGCCATAACAGCCATACATTATGACCAATGGCAGAAGAGGCCACAGGGTCACACGAACTTTATTCCATGTGTTGGCACGACATAGGACATGTGGCCACAGAGCTCCATATAAGTACTGAAAAAGCTAAAAAGAGAAAAATATATGTTCGTGTTTTTCTAGTGAATAAAAATCCAAAGATAGAGCAGGCATGTAGACCATCAAGCAAAGATAAGAGCCTGAAAATTTATTTCTAATACAAAGAGTGGAATGAGTAGAATGCTAGCAACGGTAATCCTTTCATTTCTCAAGATTATTGATACAGAAGTGAAAAATTAGCTCCAATATGATATCTCTCTCTTAAAAAACTTTAATTTTTCTGCAGAATCCTATCCTGATCCCAGGTATGCCAGCAGCTTACAGAACGGTCTCTGGGAATCTGATCCTATCAAGTTTAAAGGGCTTTGGAGCCTCGCAGGTTCTTATCTTAAAACACAAATATAGGAAGATAATTATTTCATGCAGAACCAACTCGCCGTACCAGAAACTCTAACCAATTAATGGAAACTCAACTTGCTTACTGCCAACTGGAATGTCTCTTACATTATGAGCTTCATAAAGCACAACAAACTTGAAACATATCAAGTGAGAAATAAAGAAGTGCGTGCTTCAAGTTGTTTTTTCCCCTCAAAACTTACAGTTTGGTTAGCTTGTCTTTGTACATGGTAAACATGAAAACACATCACATCTGAATATGAACCTCTTCAACAGAATTGAAATAGACTTTACATTCACTCCTGTGGTTAAAATGCCTTCAACAGGTTGAAAGAATTTAGATAATTTGTTTTAGAAAGAGATAAGGGTCTGACATTTAACCCAACCCCAGGTGCATGTGGTTTCTTAAAAAATGTCAAAAGGTCACATGATCTCAATGTATGAAGGCTGAAAAACAAAATCTAGCTCAGTATCTTCACTGAAATAGTACAAAAATGTTCAAAATTGTAACTTTAAAATGCTATTTTTTTTTTAATAAATACCAAACATTGTTTGCATGAACACACATTCGCAGCTTACACCATCATACTTTAGAATCAGGTGATTTTAAAATTTGATTTATATAAAAACAATTGAAATGCTCCAGTGTGCATAAAACAGTGGTTGCAGAGCCAAGATCAAGGTTAGGCCTCCAGGGCCCCAGTTCAACAAAGAATTTCAGCAGAGGGATCATTTCAGCTCAGTAGGACTGTCTGCATATATTACATGAGTTTCTGGATTCAGTTGGGCAGAGGAACTAACCTGGAGACACTTTGCATCTTTCAAGCACTCCTGCAATGCTTAAACGATCTCTTTTTCAGTTCACAGTTTCATCTGCAAAGTCCGTGGCTTAATATTAAAAACTGGATTTCATCCCTCTCCAGAATCCTCAGCACAGAGCTGAAACTGGGGTCTAAAAATGTTGCATTAACACTTTACATTTGGCAGTTTTTTCTTTTATTCCATGAAAACAATCATCTTAGTAAAAAAAAGTAAGTGACACAGCTTGTCCTTTAGGTTTGTCACCCAAAAAGAATTATGTGGAGGGAGGGACTGAGTATAAACCATTTCAGCTGAACAGCAAATGTTACAAAACCTAAAACAAGAGAACTGGAATCTATATCAGAAAGTATTTCATACTCATATCACAACTGCTAATCATAATTCAGTAATAAAAATGAAATACATATTTTTGCCAATTTCCTTACATTATGGCAATTGATCCAGCCCAAGCCAAAACAAAAGAGAAACCTCTATGTAAGAAGATTGTGCTTTATCTTGAAAAAGATCACCTGACAAAAAAATTCATAGAGCACATAATATTCAGAAAAAGATAAAACAGGCAATGCCTGCTCTTCTTTGCTGCAGAAAATCCTGTGCTTTGTAAATATTTACTAAGAACGCCTTCATAAGCAAGCAAAAGGAAATATAAAGAGTGTCAAAGTATTGCATTTTAACATGTCTGCTGCTGTTGAATAATTGTAAGGTCAATTAAATCAATAATGACAACGGTCTCTATTAGATGAGTGAGATACTGCTTCCAACTTACACGACACACGGAATATAATGACACTTCTATTGTATATGACATACCATAATGACAAACAGTCCATGGGAATACAACAGGAGCACTATGACACATCTAACTCTTCTTCTACTGATTTGACTATCTAACAATAAATTGTCTATCAGTTAAACACCACTCTTCACAAAGAAGTCTGTGGTTTTGAGTGGTTTGATGAGAAAAGTTAGGACAATTAAGCTTATAGTCAATAAACTTCATACAAGTCAGTATTTCCAGTATAAAGTCAAAGAATTACTTCCTACTGTATTTGAGTCTTATCTTTAACTTCAGTGAAGTATATCTAAGCCTAACAGTCTCTAATCAAGCCATTACTAGCAGGCTTAGGGTCTGCTATTTACATTTATCTTATATAACCCAAATTCAAAGTTGTAATTGAACTTAAAGAAAATTAACTTACCTTGTTGAGCTAAAGTGGATCTCAGCATTCCACTTTTGGACCAGATTTTCACTTGGCCATCTTCACCAACTGTGAAGTTATCACAAAAATCAAAACTTAGAAGTCTAACAATCACGACGGTTGCACAGTTATTGTGTAAGTTAAAATAAGATTGTGTCATTACAAGGTAAATGTCATTTATGTTGGCTTCCTAACATGGCAATAGACAGTACTTTAAAGAAACAATATTTAAGCTTTTTACCACTGTTAGCAATAAATCTCTCCCTGTCCTGAAAATCCCTATGGCACAGTGTCCAACCTTTTGGCTTGCCTGGGTTGCACCGAGTGAAGAAGAATTGCCTTGGGACACACAACACACACACAGGTTGCTCAAGAGTATTGCCTCCTATTTATTTCCATTCAAACTACAACAGATACAATGAGCACAGTAACTGCTGGAGAGATTGAGTGATTCTCAGCAGCAAAACAGTATTTTTCAATATAGTCATCACCATTTGCTATACATTTTCACCAATGATGAACAAATCTGTATGCCATGCTTGTCAAAACCTGCACCAGCAGAGGTGACCTCCTTGTTTTGTCACATGGTAACAAAGTGCAATGGAACACTGGCAGGAAGGTTCAACCTCTACTGCCATACCACCAACATTTGCCTATTATGTCATGAGCCAACATCACAAAATAGCAGGCATTACTTTTGGAGCAGCCCTTGTAAAATGTATTTTATAGAGAGAGGAAAAAAAAAAAAAAAAAAAAAAAAAAACATAAAACTAGTGGGATATTTGACTGTTTCTGTGATACCAGTGCATCAGTCTGGTTCAATGACAGTGGCTGCAATTCTCAGTGAGTTCTTCAGGCACTCACAGGAGATTTTTCATGAAATTATACTCTGTATTGCATCCTTGATAATATATGCTCACAAATGTGCATATTGCCAAAAGCAATGACATGAATAAGGCATGACTGTGAAGCAGGGGATATTTCTCTCTTTTAAAGAGAGATCTCGTCAAGAGACGTGATTTTTGAGTTGAATATCCAATTCTATATGCAACTCTATAATTTCCATCAGAAAATCTGCAAGCAATGTATTTATGTCAACTGAAGATGGGAGCTGTGCTGGTCTGCATGCAGCCCAAGGTCAGACATGCATGCAGGCTTTGTTTTCTGATCTGAAGCTGCTCCTGGCAAGAGAAATTCCATGCCTATTTCAATATCCCAAGTTCTGTATTCTGTAGCCTGCATCTATTTACAGTTCAAAGTCCCAAAGGCTGATTAAATGAGTGTCTTAGGAGTCCAAAGACAGAGGGAACAGATTTCGTGTGTTAGACTGGAGGCTCCACAGTTGACAAATGGTGAATCTGAAGATAACTGAAGGCCCAATCTGGAAGGCTTGGTTTTTACAAAATAACTGCGTGATACCAAGAAAAATAAGTTTACTTGCTTATAAGTTTATGCTGTACAGCAGATTTAGTCATAAAATCCACAGATTGTTTAATGTATTTTCATACTTGAAATGCAAACTTCTGTGACTCTATTTAAAAATCCCAGATTCAATTAATCAGGAAAAAGATGAATGTGGACCTTTGGTGCCATTCTTCCTTTTAATTTTTTTTACTGGATTTCTAGATTTGATACATGGTAGATTTAGCATTTAAATTGTTTAAAAAGCATAAAATTGTTAAAAATCTTTCTTGTGCCCATTTGATACTATTACAATAGAGCCATAAAGAGTATTTTAACTGATACGGTACCACCAGTGAGCCACTATTTCCCAAGGCACAGCTGCTGTACAGCCGTGGTTGATCTCAGAGCATATCATACAAGCTTTCAAAAGAAAAAAAAAAAATCAGGGTGAAAAAGGTAATTCCAACTTTTTCTTTGGAGCAGTCCCTGGGGCAAATCTGTCTCTTAAAAGAACAATATTTCTGTCCCTCTGGGATTTAAGAGGAACATGCCAGACACAGCTCCTTAAGGCAGCATTTTAGAGTCAGACTGAGTCTGGCAACAAGCAGATCCAAAATTATCTTCAGTGCTTCTGGACTGAGCTGGAATTTGTCCAAAACAATCAGCTGTGCTAGATCAACAGGGGGTTGCAGAAAACTCTGCCACCAACAGAAATCAAGAAGTACATCACAGGAAATGTAATTAGCTTCTCCTCAACATCAAGATAGCTTTGTTGTTGGTTTTCTGACAAAAATGCCAAAAGCAACTAATTACCAAAAGATTTAGAACAAAAAGACACAGAGATGTGGATGTTGGAGATCACTCTCCCATCCCCAGCAGAGAGGAAGAAACAGCAGCTAGACTGCACTGCTCCTAACAATCAAGGAAGAGCAGCACAGGAACATCCAATAAGCTCATGAGGCCCTCAGTAACCTTCACTGGCTCCAGTGCCATCTGCAAGGTATAAACACACCAGCATAGAAACCTTTTGTCATAACAGACAAGGAAAAAAAATCAAATATTCTCCTTCATGTATGAAAAGCAGAATGTCTGTAGAAGCCTCTAAGCATTTTGATATTAAAAACATTTGCTGTCAAGTACGTAGGACAATATATAATTAACAGGATCACATAACATTGTTTTTACTCTCTTTTGTATTAAAGTAGTGCTAATAATTCTAAAACATCATTAATTAAATAGCACCAAATTAATTTCTATTAAACAAGGTGATAATACCCCGATAAGGAAGACATTAGAAATCCCCTACTGTAGGTAACTTTGTTTGCTGATTTTGAATTTCCATTTCATTCCCATTCTTGCAAAGGAATTTAAAGCTAGACCCATATGTGAACACTTTAATAGACTCAGTTTTATTAATTTAAATTCTATATAACAAGAATATACGCTAGGAAATTTGGGACCACATCTTTTAAACGTATGTCAGGGATTAAGTTATATTTCTAAAACACACTGTTGTGCTTATCACATAGAGTAAGATCCTTATGTTCTACACATTTTATGGATAGTTTTATAAATCTAATACTACATTTTTGTACCCTTCCATTTCTTCACTGCGTATCATCTTTGCAGACTAAAAACCCCAAAGTTTCCATTTCGAGGGAACCCTTTTGTTATTTTCGTTTTCAACCCCCTCCATTTCCTTACCTGTAGCCAACGCCGTTCCCTCGGAATTCCACCTCCCTGCAAGCACGGCTCCGCTGTGGGCTTCTACGCTTTTCTCTACTCTTCCCACTTTTGAAATTAAGTGGAATTTCCCTAAACAAAAAAATCAATATAGAAATAGAGTATCTAATTTTGTGGACCGATATTTATTCTTATCTCCTGTCGTAAATGCATACACAAAACCAGAGGAATGAACCATCAAAACCAAGATCAGAACACGCAATTACATTCTTCACAGCTATGAGTAGCCCAAACAAACGCACTCTTGCAAAAGAAACACTTGTAAACCAGCTAAAATGTTTGTACAAATGGGTTGTGCTCTTTCCTTGTGGTATGTGCAGCCTTTGTTTTGACGATTCATTTTGCTCATGCCCCTCTAAGGTTTGCGTGTCTCTCTGGGGACGCAGCTGCCTGCTGCTATTTCATTGTCTGAGAGCTAACAAACAGAGGTACGCGCTCTGCAGCCCAGGAGAGCCCTTGTGTTTTCTTTTTTTAAGATCTGAAAAATCACTCAGCACCAAAAGGATAATGGAAAAGTGACTACAATCTGACCAGCAGCGAGCGCGTTTCTCTGAGGAAGTCTTACTGCCTGCATTATGGAGCTGTTATGGAAATTCACAGAAGCCAAAAACAAAGCTATTAATGATTTCAACAGAAGCATGAGGAAGTCTTTCTTTCCAAATGAGGGATGTTGCTTAAATCCAGGAAGATCAAATTTAAACTGGACCAAAGAGCAGACAAAGAAGGGCTTGGAAACATGTGGCAGAACAAAAGTGTGGCTTAGAATAGCTCACATTCAAATTAACCACTTTAAAACCAAAACCTTTTTCGAATTTATTTACTTAATCTACCAGCCAGTGAACCACGAGAAACAATTCCAGCACGAGAGCTCCTTGAGATGAAAAATGCATGGATACCTCACACCAAGCGCGTGCAAATGCTCCATCACTTAAGACGGGATCGTTTTTCCACTAATAACATATGCATATGACCCTCCTGCATGGGAATATGAATTATAAGACAGGCCATACCTGTTCTGGTTAAATAGTAGGATCCCAGAACATATTGAAAAAACACACAGAGAATGGGGACTATATTTTCAGTTACCAAAGATATTCAAGTGTCTGGAGTCCATATCTGAAGGTATTTTCTTTGGTCAGAGCCCTTATGATAAGCTTATCCAAAGTGGATCAAAAGATGGTAGCTTAACCAGTTAAAACCCAGTTTCTCCTAAGCAGAACTAGATAATCAGTTAGAACTGTGATATCAACAAGAACCTTCCAGCAGTTACCAGCTAATGTGAAAGCTTCCAGCACACAGCTGGGTTCAGCTGGGCACTGTGGGTGTTGGAAGGCACTGCGAGCTGGAGAAGGCTGGGAGGTTCCTTCTGGTCCCTGGAGTAGTTTGACCACACAGCTCATCTGCAGGAGCTCAATACCTGGCTCCTTCAGTAAAGAAATACGTTATCAACGTTAGCAGAAGGTAAACCTAAGACGTCATTGCACTAAAGGCACATGAAAATCCCAGCAGCCAGGATGGGTGTGCTTCCAGAAGCCTGAATCCACTTTCCATTGTGTTCTGGCTTCCCATGTTTTATTTTGCACTTTGGTTTCAAAAACAAAACAGAAACAAAAGCTGAAAACAAAACCCGAATGCAAACAAACAAAAAGCATTCTGCTAGATCTGGCAGGAAATAAACATCAAATGCACACCACTGCTCTCTGCAGCGTTACTCAAATGAATACAGTTACACTTTGTCTTCATTTTAAGCATATGAACAAATAGGCAACAATCCTCAGCCAAATCTCTGCCACTATAAGACTTCCAAGCAGAAGAGTTAACACTGAAGAAGAATGGTTTGTATAAATCAGTTTCTTTGAGGTGACCATTTAAAATATAACACAGTGAACTAAACATCTTTGCTTTTCCTCACCACACATATTCATATCTAAGAGAGCACTCTGGACAGCTGGTTTACCCACCCCCTTTTCCTTCACAAACCTAATACTAAAACAGCTTCTTCCTCGTTCACTTCATTCTTAGCTTCTACGATTATCAATGCTGGTCCTTTCATATTCATTGCAATGTACAGGTGTGAGATTCTCATTTCTTGTATATAAGTAGTAGCTGGATTCACAGGCATTCCACAGCTAATGCTATCTTTCCCAACTAAATAGCCCTTCAGTTATTAAAAAAGCATTTTTTGTTCTGACCACCTCTCTCATTTGATGTAGCATATTTGTTCAGCCCATAGCCAGGACCTTTTCCATTGCAGAACACCTTCCTCTAATCACTGAATTACATTCTCATGGCATCCAACACTATTCAACACTACATGGCTGAGCTCTTCATGGCCATCATGTACATATTTCACTGATATTACAAGTGGAAGAAAAAAATAATAATCAGCTTTGCAACAGTAAGCTTGCATACACTGAGAACTCAAAGAGTCCATCAACTTTCAGTATCCAACTTAAAGCCTTCAGAGTCACTCTGCAGAGAATAAAGAGAATTTTGTAATGTTGGACCAGCTCTCGTTGACCCAGAGTGAATCTGAGGTCTGTATTTCTGTAAGAAACCCCTCCAACCTGATACATCCCAGGACAATCAAACACACAAACAAAGCAGTGTGACATTTTAGTGTAAGTCACATCAGGAGAACAATGGGCCACATCACAGAGCAGAATCCTCTTCCACTGGGAAGCATCCAAGTCACCAACCAACCTTCTGCATCCCTTCCTGCTCTACCAGCCCTTACTTCTGTTACAAGGCATCTTCCCAATAACAAAGCACAGCAAACTGTAGCCTAGCAGGAAAGAATATACTTTCAAATAAAAACAGGCCCATCTTAGGCACTAAGATAGAAGCATCTGGAAAAACAATCATGTGTCTTAAAAGTGTACCATAATGCTACAGTACAACAAATCAAGTTATCACGGCTATCATCCTCATTTCTGTAATTTCTCTACTTTTCCAACACGTGAACTTACAACTTATGAGAATCAAATGAATGTGACCCATTCGATACTGGGCTTTTTCATTGCATTCTTAGGCAGAAGTTGTTCCAAGGCCAAGTTTCAATGGATTTCTCTGCCTTCTTCTGTCTATGATTCAGGTAGTAGTGACTTTCAAAATTACTGTCTCCTTATAAGCAATTAAGAAAGGGAAAAATTTAGCTATATGCTTGGAATAGATAGAAGCAATCCAATAGAAATGATTCAATTTAACCTTTTTAAAGTATCAGTTCTGCAAAATACTGTTCCCTTATCTTCATTAAGTACAGAAGCTGTCCTCAAGTTTAAATTGACTCTCCAGTTCTGGAGGAATGTCAAGTGGGAGATTAGCAGCCTATTCAAATACAGACCATAAAACACGTATGTTTTGTTCATTACATTTCATAGACTCTTAAATGCTGACCTAATAGAAAATGATCAATAATATACAAGCTGAAAAAATAGGTCCAATTCCTTATGAGTTGTGCTCAATACACAGCTTAAAGCTGAGTATTTCCATTATGTTTGTAAAGAAAGCAGTAACGTGCCCAGCTCAAATAGGAAGCAAAAGACAATATTCCACCAGAGATGCAACTCAGAAGAAATTTACATTTGCTCTAATTTCACAAATATCTGGAGTTCAACCAGGAATTGATGCAACTCTGTAAAGACATGAGACTCAGTTTCCATCAGATTCAGCAGATTTCCAGGAGTCCTTATCAGACATGAATGAGCTTCTGCAGGAAAATTGCAGGCTTGACACATATGCTATGTAATTAATAGCTAAACAGCATTTTAAATTTTACTATTACTATTTTTAAAAAGCAGCAATTCAGAAATAAATGATTGCATTTTAAGTGTACGAGCAATTTGCTTGCACATGTGCAAAAAACATCTCTGCAAGTTATTTCTCTCTATATATATCTGTATTTATTGAAAGTGCCAGATTACACTAGGAGAAAAACTCCAAAGCTTTCTGCATTGAGCTTTATCCCCATTCATTCTTTCACAATTGGTTCAGCACTGTTTTCTATTTCAGTTTCACTGAGGAAAAGCTAACAACTATGATTGTTCACAAACACATCTCTTCAACTTGTTTCCAGAAACCACATTTTCAGGCTGAATTTCCCAGTCATTGCTGAGAGCTCATCCCTTAACAACAGCTAAGAAAAAGAAGTGAATTGATTATGGTGAAAATTCCTCATTCCATGAGTAACAGCAATGCTAATTAAACCATACCAGAGGTAGCTCCCACATTCCCACCTGCCTGCCAGCTCCCTACAAGACTGACCATAGAATCCCCATTTTCTTCATTCTTTTAGGGAACAGGGAAAAAGGGGTTTCTAGGTCAGTTTTATTCTTTGACTTTTGTTTAAATTCAGACTTGAAGCACATATACAAATTGGGAATTACTCTATTCAGCTCAATAAATTGAATTAAAATCACATCCTATCTTCCTTGTGTAACATCCCATGTTATCCCCAGGGTATCTACTGCTCTGTACAACCCCGTGTCACAGCAAGAGGCAAGGCAGGCTACGAGACTGCAGTTTGAACAGATGATACCAACTGCAGCTCTAACTCTGTTAAGGTGGTACGTCTTAGGGATGTGTTAAGAACTGGGCAATACAAAGGGCCTACACATCCACAAAGAGCAAAAAAACCAAAAATCTCCCACTGCACTGAAGTTGGCAGATAGTCAACTCACTTTATATTGCATGCAAGCAAGAAGCATCTGATTAAAAGAAAGTGAAAGTTGATCAAGCTGATCTCTAGAAGCTGGACAATGACAGGTCAAAGACTTTCAAGTGCATATGGATTTTAGCTGTGACAGAGTGACACAATCATTTACATGATTTAAAAAAAATGAATCCCTTTTCTTTTCAAGGGGTAATGGCTCTAAACTAAAAGGGGAGATTCGGATTAGATGCAAGGCAATCCTTCATTCAGAGGCAGTGAGGCCCTGGCACTGCTGCCCAGAACTGTGGGTGCCCCATTACTGCAGTGCAGTAGGTGGGGCTGAGGTGATTTATCACAGAGTCATAGAATGGCCTGGATTGAAAAGGACCACAATGATCATCTGGTTTCAACACCCTGCTATGTGCAGGGTCGTCAACCAGCAGATCAGGCTGCCCAGAGCCACATCCAGCCTGGCCTTGAATGCCTGCAGAGATCCCTTCCAACCCAAAGCAGCCCACAGTTCTTTGAATACCTCCTCAGGCCCAGCTGCCTAATAGACACAGCAAAATACAGCACCAAGTACTGCAAAATTGCACTTCTGCTCAGCCAAACTCCCCATTTTCCCTTCCCATACACAGGGGATGTAGGATGCCACAGCAAGGTGACCTTCAGACTCAGGCCAAACAATGTCCTGCTATTGCTCCATAAGTTTAGTGCATTTATTCAATAGGAAGTACAGAAAATCTTTTAAAAAAAAACAAAAACAACTTGGCCTTCACTCTGTGAAATGAACTCTTCTCCTTCCTTATTTCTTAAGTGCAACCGTTGTCAGCAGCCAGAGAAATCAACAAAGTTTAATGCATGGAATGAACTTTCCTGCCTTCTTCAAATACATGGCTCTCTCTACCCATACAGAAAGCCACGCTGGACACATCAGCACCAGACTGCTATTGCCCTGTAACAAACCTCTTCCAATCAGACTCACTGGGAAGCTGGCCACGTAAGCTGCACTCACCAATGAGAGAGCATGCTAGATCCAGAAATTCAAGGTTCTGGCTAAACTTGGGCAGAAGTTAACTGGAAATCATCCACTATTCCCATTAAAACTATCAATAAGGTCATGGGCAGATGGCCATATCCTGATGGAAACTCTACAATTGGCCAAGAGCTGCTCTGCCTGAAAGAGCTGGCAGATTTAGGGCAGCATATTGCTTTGAGTCCGTTGTTGAGCAACTCCCACTGCTACCATTTGTGTAGACACACAGCTTCACCACCAGGACCTTTGACTGCTGACAAAAGAATATAAACTCAGTTGAGTATATTGATGAGATCTGCTTCTTCGTGCACATAATTACTGCTATTGGCAAGACAGTTTAATTGATTTGTTCTCAAACTTTCCAGTGTTTTCAATGAAGTAAAAGGAATGCATAAAATGTTAATACCTACGTAAGGACTGTCCAACTTCTGTGAGCAAACCATAGAGCTTTTCCAAGTCACTCATGCGCCGAGTTCTTGGATGTACCTCATGAAATTATCAGAAATCCATCTCAAAATAACAACCCAGCCCCAGCAGCAGGCTTTTGCCAGCCAGGCACTCACAGCCTGCATCAAGGACTACTTTTCTTAGCTGTGCTTTTGTTCCAGAACAATATTGACAATGAGGTCAATGTAAAATAAAACAAGCAAACCAAAAAGGCAAGTTTCCTAAAGGATCAAGCCCCTTGTAAGCTTAGTTTTAAAACGGGCAGGTTTGGGAAGAAACAATAAGTACATCTGGCAGTATGTGAGACATACAGATCAGTCTTACATCTCTGCTGACAGCCAGAACTCAAGGCTTCGGAGAGATATTTGAGACAGTGCAGAAAACACATACAAGATATGTCCCAGAAATGGCCTACATTGATATTAAATACCATGGTGAAGCAATTTCAGTATTTTGGTCATCTTCAGTTTTGACAGTTAAAAGCAATCTGATATCTGTGTAGTAGCAATGCAAACATATCGGAAGCTACTGATTTATGAAAGAGCCAAGTGTGAAATGAGCTACCAAAGAGGACAGAATTTGACCTTACATACAAAATTATACATCTGCTGAATGAAAGAAATATATCTAGTAATGTTGTAACAGAGAAAACTACAGTAATGCAACATATTGATTTTGAAGCATTTTTACATCAGTGCAACTGGTGTATCAGCATTCAAAACTGCTTTATTTCAGACTGTTTAAATGCAAATGATTTCTCATGCACAAGCTGGTATAAAGTTAGAAATGTTTTAAAGTGCCATACCATCAGAACTTGTAAGAACGAAGCTCTCAGCCTGGGACTGCTTCTTCCCACCAACACTTCTGGGAAGCCAGTGAAGGTCTATGGGATAAGTATCATCTGGAAGTTTCACTACTCGAGTCGTCTCACTCGTTAGAAGGTTCCATTTCAGAATCTGGTGATCATCACTGCAGGAATACAGCTCGTCAGCTGTGGTCCATCCTACGCAGCTAACTAATTCCTTATGTTTAATTAAATTAAGGAAGTCTGAAAGTTTTAATTGTTAAAAATACTTATTAAATGGTCATTACTTCAATACTTGAACATTACTTCACTACTATTGCACAAAATACTTTATATATAGGAAATACAATTTTTCACTCTTTCCCTGCTTGTTTGTTTCAAGAAAAGCTGGTAGAAACTCCATGAGAAATAAAGCAGACAAACCACACCATGCGACAAATATTTTACTACAAGATTTATAATAAATAAAATCCTTTCGAGAAGATAAACTACATGAGAATACAGCATGCATTTCAGTGGTTTATTCTAAGATAAAGGATATGTTTTGGTTCCTTTAAAAGCGAAGTCTTCAGTCTCATTTTGGTTGTTCAGATGGAACATTTAAACGAGGTTTGCAGGTACAACTGCAATAAAACAGAGCGAGCACAAATAAAGGCAGCTGAAACTCAAAAGGAAGATACCAACACTACAACAAAATGTTTTCAAATAAGCAATATTACATTAGTACTGTATCAAAACAAGCACCAAAATGAGGTTTTAGGGGTTTGTACAGAATCCAGCAGCACTCTTGAATGCTGGGCAAGAGAAAGAGGTGCCAGGTGTGCTTTGCTGGAACGTTGTAAAAGGAAAAACTGAAGTTCCCTTGTGCAGGCACAGCTGTGATGGTACTGAGGGAAAACCTGGAATCACAAACTCATCAAGAACCTTCATGTTTAGTGACAGCACTGTGAGAAAACGCAGAATGAAGAGCCCTGCTGGGAAGACAACCCTGCCAGGACCAAATGATACATCATCTTACTGCCACCCACTGCTACTTGTAATGTCCACCATGCTTCACTGCAACACAGTATTTCCATGGGGAGGTCAGTGAGGTCCTACAGCATCCATAGTGCAACAGCCAAAGCCTTTGGAAGGCTCTGTGTTGGATGAGCACTGCCGGCCCTCAGGGTGGGAAGGGTGGGAGCACTGAGGAGAGCAGTGATGCAGGATGTGACCTCTGAGCCTCTGAGTGTTTTCCACCATAAGAACAACGACGGGTCAAACAGTTACCGTGCGGAATTTGAGAAACGTAAAAAGGATGCTCAAAGGATAAGAGTTCATTTCAGCCCTACGTTACATCACTTAAAACGTGCAATAGCTATATTTATTTTTGAACATTTCTCTCACAGTTGAACGCCTAATATCCTCCTCATTCCCCGAACCAAAGGCTGTGCCGTGACCCTCGCTATGCAGGCACATCAGTCGGCCTTTCAGCCCAATCCCTGACTCCCTCACAGCTCTGCCAGCAGAACCGTCCCATCTGCGTGCCCGGATCCCACCTGCCTGTTTTCCGAGCACCCCACAGCACTCCTAACCCACCGGCTGCCGTTCGCCCCTCGGTGACGCCTTGCTTAGAGCCCTTCCTATCGCACTATACACCCTCACGGCGCTGTCAGTTCCACCTGCCGCCAACGGGCGCGGAGCTCACAGCGCTCAGCTCGGCGGAGATGGCGGCGTCTGTGGGCAGCGCTCACGGGACGCGGCGGCGAGGAGCAGCGGGCAGCGATGCGGAGCGGCGGGAGCTCAGCCCCGCCGCCTCGGCCGTCGTCCCTCAGGGGCAGCGGAGGATCTGAGGGGAGATTGAGCAACGGCTCTGGGGGGGCGGGGGGGAGGGGGGAGCCGGGCAGGAGCTCTCCGCTCGTGCCAGAACCGCCTCCTTTCGCCCCGCAGCCCGAGGGAGGTCACGGCGGGCTGCCTCCCCGCCGGCACCGCTCGGGATCTCAGCTGACGACCCGTCCCCCGCCGCCCTCGCCATCCGCCCGCCCAGCGCCGCCCCTCCCATCTCCCCGCAGCCGCCCCCTGCCCGGCTCTGCCTTTACCTGCGGCGGCGGCGGCGGGCGGCTCCCTCAGCTCCGCGAGCTGGGCGTGTGGCGGCGCCGTCTCTATGGCCACGTCCGTCTGTGGCCGCGTCCCGCGAGAAGCGCCCGCAGCGCAGCGCCGTGTGACAGCGCGTCACCGCCGGCGGGCGCTGATTTCAAAAGCGAGCCCCGTTTCCGCTTTATTTATTT